CGGAGGAGCCCCCAAAGCAGCCCCTGAGCTGCGCAGCGGTCAGGTCCCTGTGTGCCGTGATGCAGCCTGTGAAAGAAACCCAGTAAAATTAAACGGCTGCTGTTTGTTTGATTTATAACCTTATAATAAAGTATTCGCTGGCTTAGATTTACTTCACTTTAGAGCACACCAAAACGCCTTTTTTTTTCACTTTCGCTTTATCATTTTTTTTTTAATTTTATTTTTAAGGACTGGAAAACCTCACTGGCCCTTTAACAGCACGTTGTAATTCACTGTCAGTGCATTTCAGCTTCCACTTTGAGCAGCGTATGAAGGATTAGGGTTTCATTGGAAGAGGGGGGCAGAATAAATGGCATCCTCTCCCAAAGAGCTGCCAGACCCTTTCAGCTGGGCGCCCTTCCCATGTTAGTCAGCTTTCTGAGAGCCTTCCAAAGCGACGTCTGCCCCTGAATTTCATGGGCTTCGGGGTCAGCCACAGCAGAATTGTGGGGCTGGGGAGGTCAGAGGCCATTTCTGTCAAAGGGTAGTGACCTTAGCAGCAAGAGGTAGCCTGACAAAACCAGGATTCGCGCTGGTGAATGGAGTTCTCACTGCTCTGCCCCCGCTGAGCCTTTTTTTCTACCTGGTAATGAAAAATCCTGAAGAATTGTACTGGGTTTTTATATCCATACATAACATATGTATAGGCATGTGTGTATACATTTATATTATGCATATAAGCACATGTGTGTACATATATATATGTGCAGGTCTCTTTTGTTACATGTTTCAGTGCATGACAAAAAAATCACATTCAAGAAAATGTTTATTGGTAGTGAGAAGAGAAAGAATGAGAAGGAAAAAAAGAGGAACAAATAAAGAATAAAAATCTGTTATTTTAGGCTGTGGTATGAAAGCTTCTTGAGAGAGATTTGCATAGTCACGTATTTACTTTATATATCCTTACATACATGGCTAGCAAGTAACACCACCTTCAGTCAGCAGGGCCAGGGGAGAGGCGTAATCACCGTTCCCCGCGCTCTGGCAGTGCCCCTTGGTGGTTCTAGAGCCTCCTGCCCAGAAGCAGCCGTTGTGCCCGGAGGTTGTCGCCCTTGTGTACAAAGCAGCAAGATGAGCCCCTCACGAGCAGCTGCGCTGCAGAGCCCGGCGAAGCCCCGCGAGCCCCGTGGCCGTCCGTATTAATACGGCGGGGTCTGGCCCGCAGCGGCTGGGGGGGAGTGGGGGGCTGGTTTCTGCTGCGATGCTGCCGGTGCGGACGGCGATGCTGACCCCACAGAGCCGTGTCAGTAAGCTGTACATTGCTCCGTGTGAGCGTCCAGTTTGAATTGCAAAGCCCTCATCAGGAAGCAGTCCAAAGGCAGATGGAAGGGCATGTTTGGTCTCCTGTGGCATCAACATGAGTTTATAAATAAATTTTAAAAAGATCATGGGGGTTCCTCTGCTAAAGACTTTCAAAGTTCAAGCCCTATCTGACTAACGATGACATTAACAGTCCTACAGGTCTTTTGCGGGAGTGCAGAGCCTTGCGGTGCTGTTGGTCAAAATTCCCCCTCTGAGCACTTTGCACACACGGACTAGCTGCAGTTCTCCTGAAGAGTCTCCCTGGGTTCCTCAAGGCTCTAGGAATGTGCTTCGGAAGTCTCTTCAAGGATGTGGGGATTCTGACTCTTCCAAAGCCCCATCTCTGAGTTGCTTACCAAACATCTCAGGGATGAGTCTGCTCCTGGAGAGGCCGTGGTAGGTCACAGTGAGCAGTGGCCTTCTCCATCTCTAAGCAGAGATTAATCAATGTTCCAGCAACAGTAAATGAGCAGAGGGGTTCAGGAGTGGGCTCTTGGTGCAGGTACTGCAAAGTAGAGATTTGGAATTCCTTAGGGAAGAGAGAGTGGATTTTTCTACTGTAGTGACTTTCATAGAATCGCATGCATTTCATCAGACAGTGATGAGGCAGCACTTCCTATGTTTGCTCATATTTAATGGGTCAGCAAAAATGCTTTAAGTATCTTCTTCCAGCAACAGTAAATGAGCAGAGGGGTTCAGGAGTGGGCTCTTGGTGCAGGGACTGCAAGGTAGAGATTTGGAATTCCTTAGGGAAGAGAGAGTGGATTTTTCTACTGTAGTGACTTTGCCTTTCCCGCATGCATTTCATCAGACAGTGATGAGGCAGCACTTCCTATGTTTGCTCATATTTAATGGGTCAGCAAAAATGCTTTAAGTATCTTCAATAACAAAATGCAAAGCAGGCCCTTGATCTCAAGCACATGCCATGTCTAGCTGCTAAAGGCTGGCTACTGGTAAAACTGCCTTCCAGCTGCCTTACGTTCTTCCATGTGGGCTGTTTTGCCTGCAGGTAACTTGAGTGGGCATAAAACAGATGGGGTAAACTGAGCTTCTTCTCCACTGTGCTGCCATCCCTTACCAGGAGTGCAGAGTGACTGTGCGCTGTCACAACAACGCGAGCTGCCTTGGGTAACATTTCAGAGGGGCTGTCACAGCAACCCACGGAACAGGATCGTCACCAGGCACCTGACGATGGAGATGGGCTCTTGCCATGTTTCTGAGAACCCGATGGGCACCTTGGCTCAGTGCTTTGGAGCCTGAACACCCGTCAGACGTGCCCTCGAACACACCTCCTCCCTCAGTCCTGGCGAATTTCCACCTCTTTCTTGCAGTAACTTCAGACCTCCAAACTCCCTCTGGCTTACGCAGCAGTTAAATATACCAGGCCTGGGAATGCTGCCACTTTACATATTCACCTATAGGAAAACGACCTTTCCATTTCCAGTACTGTAAGAAACTTCTTTGTTAGAAGGTACTTCAAGAAGACAGCACATCTGACCTGCCTCGGTGAATACAAGGGCTCGGAGGAGCTGCAGGAGCAGGATTACAACCCACCAACACTCAGGGATCAAGCCAGGACCAACAGCCTTGAGCTGCTTGCGGCTGCAGGCCCACGGGCAGCAGCGCTCACTTACCGGGTTGTACAAGCTCTTAGGTTCTCTGCTAGATGAAGACTCACACTGTCACCTTTGCGACCTTTTGAAGAGTTATCAGCTCGTGGAAGCCACTGGATTAAAGTGGATTTCAATGGTATAAATTTAATTGCATGAACTTTGACTGTGAAAACCCCTTACATGCCTTGCACAGCTGTACAAATAACACTTATGTCCATTTTCAGCATAGATAGTGTTATTATCACAGTGGGTGCTGCCAAGGATTTTATTAACAAAACAATTACTAAAATGCCTGATGTTGTATTTCCATTTATTTATTTCTTACCCATAGGGTAATAGGTCCACCATAATTACTTGGTGCATTTTATAATACAGAAGAAAAAGCTATGTTAATAAAATCTAACAAAAACTCACAAATAGCTACAAATCTGACAGAAAATGTCTACGAAAATTCTCCCCAAAATACAATACATTTTTCCACACATACACAGTACAGAATAAGTTCAAAGGCACAGCTTTGAATTTTGCTTTTGTAGAAGTGTGTAGAATTATCACCATGTGAAGCAATTGAGTGAAGTTTCATACCTGTCAATAGGCAATGAATTGAATAATCATGTTTGCATTGTCATTTTTCACATAATTGCTTCATATTTAACATATGTGGCTCTGAATACAGAATCTTTCCAGTCCTCAAATCCTTTCTTAACTTTGTCATTACTGACCAGAGAAGTTAAATTTTTCCAGATTGTGCAAACTTAACACAAATACATATATAATAAGAACAACAGTCAACTTAAGGCAGTGTATAATTCAATGCTACATGTCTTCTTTTTTTTTTTCTTTTTTTCTTTTTTTCTCTTTTGTAAAGATCAGGTTTATTGGAAAACAGAAAGGTGCATCAATATTCAAAAGCAAGGTGTAAACGGAAATCTATAATAACACATATCTTTTAAGGAGCCAAAAAAAAAAGAAACCAATACAAACAACTGATGACTTGGCAGAATGTTTTAAGGAATGCACGAGCAATTTAAAGGAATGGATGCCAGAGCTTTGCTGAGAGTGAGCTTTCTGTCTTTAACTCAAATTATAAATAGATTCCTTTACGGTAGTTCTCTACAAGACCCATTAACATTTGTCAATAAGGGAAGGGGGGAGAAATGGCTCACTGGAATTGACATCACAGAGGGTTGGCCCACATGCCAGAATTAAAAAAGGCACAGATTGGCCTAAATAATGGTCTAGAATAGCACAAAAATCTTGTCCAGTTACAGGAACATGTCACACTGGTCTGCAGTACACCCATGTTATGAACTACCTTTATCTGCTTAGGATCTTACGTTTATCTGCCCAGGATCTTTTCTGTCTTCACCTCCACTGAAGAACGTCCACAAGTCCCACATAATATAAAGTTTTAATAACTCTTTAAAGTATAAGGGCTCAGCTGACACCAGTCACTTTCATTTAGCCCAGCCTGTGGTGGCTTCCCCGTTGATGTAGGCAAAGCCAGGAAAGTGTTGCATGTGCTCGTATTCAGAATTCCGGCGTGTTGCCAGAGGGGTGTACATGTCACTAGCATTTCCGTATCTCGTGGAGTGCATGGGCGGACTCGTGTAGCAGGAATTTGCAGATGGGACTTCTGGCCAGCGAGGAGTCACTGGGGTGGGATGCAGCCTTGGGGTGCTGCTCATCAAACACGGCTCCATCCGTGACGTTGGGCTGTTGAAGGGATACTACAATGAAAAAGGAAAGACAGAGAAACAAATTAACAAAACATCTACCACATGCTTAGTGTTAAAGTATCACAACTGCCTGAATAACCAGAGCTAAGTCATACGAACTAGCAACCCCCAAGCAGGCAATGCATTGAAGGTGGAACATCAGCACCTGCAGCTGTTCCAAGTGTCAGAGAAAGTCCTGCTAAGGAGCCATGGCATTTAAATATCAGAGGAATTTATCAGAAGAGCCAGCTGCTGGCAGCTATTTCTGGGAGCAGAAAAATGACTTTCTCTCATCTTTTTTCCCCCAGCTTTTCCTGGGCAACTTGCTATTCAATAAACAGCAGAGCATAAAGTGTCCCAGCTCTACTGCGCTCACTCTACCGTGCTCTGAGGGAAAAGGGGAAAGGATCTTTACTATTTAAAGGCTGCCTTCCTTCTAAATGTTCACCAGCCAGCCTGCCAGTCTCTGCAGAAGAATGCTAGAGATCGGCTTCAAAGCAGCAGCTAATCAGAGAGCTTATAAAAAAAAGGCAGAAGAGTTTCTCTATTCCCCAGCTGTCTGCAGTGACAGTTGGGAACTAGAAACCAGAGGAGTTTGACAAATGCTTCTTGCTAAGGAGAAGATACGCTGAGCATAGGCAGAAACCCCGAGAAGAGCATCTGCCCGCACAGCCGCCCCGCGCCAGGGAGCACACGGAGCCCAGGGCGCCGGCCTAGGGCGCACTGAGCTGACGTGAAGGGGCTGCCCCTGTGGGCTCTGCCTGGGAAATGGCTCTCCCTGACTTGCCCTCGGATCATCCATCCGCACAGGAGCGTGGCTGAGGATCCCTGCTGCCCTTGACCAGCTCTGTATCTTCAGATCTCTTCTCTCTCTCACACCTTCCTGGCATGACGGTCTCTAGGCAGTTCACCTGGTCATTGTGAGCGCTGCAGGGCTGGGTCCGTAGCCACAGGGTTGTACTTTTTACAGCAAAAGTGGCATCATTCTAAATTTCATTATCTGGATTTGCTTGACATGGTGATATTTTTGTTGTCTCTATCAGAGCAGGAGCACCGGCTCTTCTGGATCTGAGCCTTCCCCACCTCACAGGCTGTACATGGGGAGGGCTGCGAGACCCCTGCCTTCTGTTTTGGAGCGCCGTGGAGAGGCGCTGCCAGAGCTGGTCAGAGGAGGGAAATGAGAGCAATTCCCAAAGGGTCTCATTACATGAGACTCTGCTGCTGAATGGGGCTGGGCTTAATCAGTTGCATAAATGGCTCCCCCGAGGCGATTACAGCAATGTCCCCACGAGGAGTTTCCGCTGGCTGCCTTCACGCCACAGCCAGGAAGCTGCCCTGCCTTGGCAAACCTTGAACTGCTCACAAGCCTCAGGCAGCGCAAAAGCCACATGCTGGCTGTTCTAATGAGGGAAGAGAGATGGAGAAGGCTGTTTCTGACCAACTGATACTTCATAAAACATTGCAGTCCGCGGCTTAGCATATCCCCCCACAGCCTGGGAAGACAGGCCATTAGATGAGAGGGAAGAGAACTTGCACAGTGCGTGGTTCAACATCTGCTTCTCCTCTCCTGAGAGCCTGGGGATTTAGCTGTGCAACCAGCTGCTCAAACAGGCCTGTAAAGGACAGCACCACCCTAGAACAGCAACACTTCAACTGGTACTTCTAATGCAGCTACCAGAACAAGCTGAATTGGCACCGCTGCCAACATTACTATACAAGGTCATCTACGCTTTCCATCTTCACCTCAGAGAAAGGCTTTTCCCATAGGAAAGCCCAGCAGAACATGGGCACTGAGCACATGAAGCCTTGTGCTGAAGACAAGAGCCACCACTGCCCAGCAGCTAAGCAAGCCGTGCTTTGAGGTTTTATATGCCGTGATGGCAATGGAAGACCATGGTTCTCTCATTTAAACAGTTAAGGACGGGGTGCTCTGTCAAGAGACAACCAACCTACAAGTATTTTAGGTAAATATATGAGGCATCAGGAAAAGTTCATCAATTTTCAAGGGTGCTCTGTCAAGGGACAACCAACCTACAAGTATTTTAAGTAGGGGCATTTTTTTTTTATGGGGCATCAGGAAAAGTTCATCAATTTTCAATTTTTTAAAGTTTGGGAGACTAGATAATAGATTTAAAATGCAGCTTTTCTAGACTGCATGGGCAATACATTAAAGCATCTGATTTTCATGCTGGCAGCTAACTGCCTTCACCTGATCACCGTGCTGAACAAAGCTCCTGCCATAATAAATAGAGCCTAAGAACAAAGAAATAAGTTCCCACGTGATTCTCTATAGCATCAGAGTTCCTTTCAGAATTCATTTCATCTGATTAGTTCTCAAAATGTTAGATATCTAATAAAAGTGAGTCATCTGTGCTCTGTCCACAACCACCAGAGGGATTCATCAACCGTGAGATAAATTTTTTGGGAAGAACATGAGCAATTCTAAGATGATTGCTCTTCTCTTCATCCTGCTACATTATATAAACCATTAGTTAGGTTCCCATAAGTTGTTGTCCCCAGATGATCTCGGATGTTTCAGAAATGACTGTTCCATTGTGTACAAAATGCTTTGAAATGGTAGGACCCGAGTGGACTACTGTGATAAATAAAACACAAAAACAACCTACTCTTTTCTCTGTGTCAGGTATGGAACTGCAAGATGTGTGCTAAGTTGGACAAGCACTGCTTTGACTGCAGTCAGGTTTTACTTTACACCGGTTACCATTGTCTTCATCTTCATTGTTCAATGATTTATACCTGAATTTTGACTGTTCTATTAACCTACTTCTGTCTAGGTCGATCTAGTCCTTTGCTGCAGTATATCAGTGATTATCTGTTGTCTTCCTTCCCACTAATTGATCTGCTATTAACCACAGAAGAGTCTTTTGCCATCCTGGCTTGGTGTGGTTCCTCTTTGAGGTTGTGAAACTCAGGCTGGGACTTAGCATGGGAGAATTACTTGCTTTCATATTCCTTACAAATGGCAAGAGAAAGCCCCAGCATCAGCCATTCTCGTTTGCCACTGATAATTTGCAGACTGCAAAACTTTCAACTATGAGCTAAAGAAACAAAATTAAGTCTGGGAATATTGTGCAGAGTCTCTAGGTTGTACATGGGGAAGTCATACAACGTGTGTTAGGTCCCTTGGCCATTTGGGGATTAAGACATTGCATCCCAGACTAAACATGGAGGAGCACTGACAGGGAAAGCAAATCCTTCGGCTTGCAGGCAAGGGCCAAAGGAAGATCCTCAGGAGGCTCCTCTCGCTGGGAAGGCCCCACATTAGGGCTCGCAGAAGGGGCAGGACACAGCACGCTGCTCTTCCCTCCCACCCTGTGCCCCCGACACAGCTGTGTTTATGAATGTGTCGTGAACGTAAAAAGAACGATTGCTTCAAAATTATATGGACTCTAAATATCTAGCATTTTACAATAAATTCTGTTATGGTGGAGTCCAACATGGAAAGTTTTGTAATGGTAGGTCAGCTAATCGCAAGTGAGTCAGTGACTTCTTTCTCCCTCCAGTGAAGAGACTATTGAAAGACAATATTTTTAAAGTGCCCGTTGGCCCCTGCCTGCCTATTAACTCAGCCAGTGAAGCCTCTATTCAGCCTTGTTGGAGTGTCCAAGGCAGAGCCATCTGGGCGGATGCCTGCCCGTGCTGCCTGCATCACCTTTCACACCCCGCATCCGGGTTAATGAAGAGTGCTTCAGCCGCCTCAGCTCCACACACTGGGGCCTAGTGATCTTTGCCAGATATAAAAGCGACATTTGTTGGAGGGCTCTTGACAGGAAATTACCGTTTTCTGGGTTAACTCACACTTGTTGCTACTGCTGCTTTTAAACCTAGACAAGAAGCTCTTTAAGTCTGGGAGACTTTAAGCAGATTATTGTTAAGGCCTTGCCAAAAAAATATAAAATTACTTCATTTTTTTAGTATTATTTTAGAAAAATACCACGCTAAATGTGTCCTCCCACTAAGTGAAGCCTGAGCTCCTGCACTATGAGGATGAAGAATAATGTCTTTATTCCTATCCTCAACTTGCTGACTGATTATGCATGGAGGTGAAACGTGTCTCTGTCCAAGCAGCAAAATATTGTGCTTCTGAATGTGGCTCTGACTATGTTGCATTAGCTCACACTTTTGCAGAGTGTTTTAAGTTAGCACTGTACATTAGACACTACTTCAGGATTTAGTATTTCCAAATTACTCTTAGCAGAAATAACAGCTATTGTGAAGAACAGGCTACACATGACCATTATAAAAATATACTTAACATCTCAAAAATGCAATAATCAGAATTATTGATTGATTGCTCCTTTCTAAGCCATAATTTGACCCTTTTCTCCATGAAATAAAGCTTTTTGAATCTTAGTCTGTCAAATAAGCTGAGTGAAATTTTCAAGTCAGACCAAGTGATTTTGGTCTTTTGGGGAGTGGTATCTGAGCTTTATGGAAATGCTATTTGTAATTACTTTTTAAAAAGTCAAACATCTGTTCCTGTTTCATTCAATACATAATTACCTCAACTACATTCTAACAATCTCAAGTCAGTTATGAAGCCATACAGTTAGAAACAATAATTCTTGTTTCATGGGCAGGATATGGACAGTATTTTTTCCTTACTGTTCTTACTATCTTTTAGGTAATAGTAACTGAAAAATAAGGCAAAAAAAAAAAAGGCAGTGGAAAACAGCATTTTTAACTAGCTTTTAGGTTATTGGGAAGGATGATATATGGAACTGGGAATATGATTCTTACTGCATTGGTATGGTAATGGGTTTATGAAGTACATTTGCTGGGAGGACAAGAACTTTTCCTCTTAGCTCCATCTTTTTCCTGTGAAGTAGAAGGGACAGAGCAGTGTGAATTGATGTTAAAGCACAGCCCCTGTCTGAGAGAGGATTTCCTCAGCACCTCAGCACCAGAAAAGAAGGCAGTAATACTTTCCTCTAGCACAACCTCTCTTGTAAATCCTACATGCAATTATGAGACAGCAAATCAAAAATTAACAAAAAAAATCATATGACCCATCCTTAAGGAGTCTAAAAGTACAAAAAAACAAAGCTCAAAGACAGACCAGTGCAATGGAGAGTGGTGTTACAAAACAGGACAGTCCAGCAGCTGCTTCTTGCTCCCCGTGTCCCTAGATCAGCTCTTGCCAAACACAAAGTGGCTGTGAAAGGCCCACTCTCTGCCTTGCCCATCTCTAACAATTTTCCTCCACTCATTTGTTTCTGGCCATTATCAGAGAGAGAATCCTCTCTCTGATGGACCTAGATGGACCTACAATATTATTTCCTACAGTCATGTATTACAGCACTTACAAATGATATGCTTACCAATGCAGATACGTTAGGATACAGAAACACCTACTGCTGCAGAGTGCTCTAGTTACTCTTCGTATTACCACTGTCATATTTGTGCTTTATGAAGAAAATGCTGTGGTGTTAATAACTTTGTGTCTAGGAAAGTGGTGGAATGATACAGTTTGCAACATTTATTAATGGCCTGAGAGGGCTCAAGACCTGCCCAGCAAGGGTGAAACCTGTAGACAGAAGCTCTGACCAAAGCCCTATGTAGATCGTGTAAATGGCTTTGGAGGTGACATTATGCAAGCATTACTTTTGAAGCAGTATCTTCCAACTAACTTGGTGTAGGTTGGGGAGAAAGCCCAGAGGCTGTTAGAAGGACTTGTGGCCTATTCCCCACCACAGCTCTGGTTTAGCTACTACTACACAGGCAGACAACTTGGAAAACATAGAGCTCAGTACAGATTTGTTTATGTACACGTGTTACACCGTTCCCTTCTAAATGTGACAGAATCAGGAGTGTATGATTGAGTGCAGCTCTGCACTGCTGCCTAGAGAACCCGGCAGGCACGGATCGAGCAGCGGATCACGCTGCTTTGTTTGTGAGGCACACTCTGGGCCAGCAAGCACAGTCAAGCAGGGGGCCCCAGACCTGGAGTTACAAGGAAGGGCAGGGTCTCAGAACTACTGACAGATGCCAGTGGTGGAAATAAGTACTCAGGTTAAGAATAAGGCTGTCTCTGCCACTAAAAAGACTCTTCCAGCCCTCAGTGGGAATTGGTCAGCCCACATCGCCAGAAGGAGCCAGTTCTAGGTACATGCTTGGATGGTAGCTGCAGAAATCACTTCCTCAGTACATTTACCTCCCTACCAAGCCTTTTACAAGCCATTGCCTCCACTCCTTTGCCCTCCTATCCACCCCAGAGTTGCAGATCTTTCTGAAACTCTGAGCTGTTTATCACAATCTCCATGTAGCCCAAAGTTATGGGACACATACCACATTCCTCGAGAGCCAAGGAAGTGCCAAGACTGCCTCGGAGCTGGGAGTTTACAATAGTCTCAGGGGCTTTCACCAACTTTTTATTTTTATTCTAAATATGGGATGGAGCACGAGTGGATCTGTAACACCAAGGGATTCAAATTGTCCAGCAACCTCTCACCGGAACAGCCTCACTGCTGCTCAAGTGACACAGGCTTGGTGGGGGACCCATGTCCGCACTGATCAAGAGCAAGACTTGCACAGGGGACTCCATCCCAGCACAGCCCTCTCCAGGAACAAACCCACAGCAGACCTCCTAAAACGAACACAGCCCAACCACTGTATGCCTGTGTGTGACACTGGGATCAATGTGCAATATGCTGGCAAATAAAATTTAAAGGATCACATATTCCATGCCCATCCTCTGCAGTTCAGTTCTCCCCCTTCCAAGCAAATAAAAGTTGCCCTCTCCATCCCCATTGTGCCAACTCCTCTCTTCTGTTCATGGTCTACAAATCAAGTTTGTGAAATGATCTATCTTAAAGCTCCTCTAAGACAGAAAAATCAAACACACTTCTGTTTTTCTTCAGGAACATTCCCTTGCTGTGAACTGGAAAACAGCCTCACAAAAACTGAACTGATAAGAGCTGGAGTATTTTGTTTTCTTCTGCAAGAAGAGGTTGGATGGAAATTGGTGACTTTCCAGACCAAAACAGTAACCTATAGGTGCAGCCTATTGCACCTTCTCTCTTTCAACACAGTCCTATCTAGGACTAGGGGTACCTCTGATTCTGTCTTTGTAGAGGACAATCTATTTCACATGCATGTTTCTCCTTAGCAGTTAATGCCTACAACCGCTACCCTAAAGAACATGATAGAATACTAGCTAAAACTGAGCCAGGCTTCTATATTTGGTCTGAATGTAGACTAGAACAAGGAGTTCTTTAGAAGAGAGATGTTGGCCAATGCCTCCTATTCTTGACTGATTATATTACCACAGTAATACATGTTGCAGCTCCACTCATTTCAATATAGTGGTGACTGTTTACATCCCATTGTAAATTTGGTCCCCTGTACTTTCATGAGTCCTGCTGCGATTCCTTTGCACCATGTTTCCCTTAGAAAGTCTATTAGAAAGCATGTAATTGCCTAACTTCTTGTTGGGCTTTGCAGACCAATAAACTTTTGTTGGTTGGAAGTGATTAAAAAAGAATACTTATCATCAGGGCAGGAGTTTTATAGAATTTTAGTTTTAAAAACAATATCAGAACAAAAATGTTAAAATCATTTAAAGCTTCTACATTATTTCTGAAAGCAGGGTTTTAGCTCCTTTAAAGACAGTGAGCACATTAATAGGGTTTTGTTAGTTGGATCCTGTTTGTAAGATCAGTTCTAAAGCTGAAAGACCCTGCTTCAGTTTACAAACAGTATGAGAAAGAACATGCTAAACAAAAGCTGAATCATTTTGCTCTCAAATATGCATGATTTTAATATATGTTACTGTTTCTATGCAACATGTTAACCAGGACATGAGTAAACTCCTTATGTATTCATCAGTGGCTACAGAGCCATTATTGAGCAAGTCTGAATGAACATACTGGCTTTGCAGAGGAAAACTTTTCTACGCAGATCTCAAAAAACTTTAAAAAGGAGACCAATATCATTATTCTCATTTTACAGTAAGTGAAAATGAGGTATGGAAAGGAGAAATTATTTCTCTGGGATGACTCAGCAGGCTGATGCCAGAGACCAGAACAAGTTGCAGGTTTCATGTGTTCTAGTCCAAAGCACTATCAAATCCATGTCTCCGTGCCTGCCAGGAGCCTTCCAGCCCAGGACTAGCATAAGCATGTTGCTCCTTAACATACGTGCATCAATTTCTAGTAGATGAAGCATAATAACACCCATGTGGAATACCCCAAAGCCATCACCTCCTGCCTGTAACACCGTCTGCAAATTTCCCAGTAGAGGCCCCAGAGAGCAGCCCTCTTCATATTAATCTGTGCTGCTTCCTACTGGCTCAGTTGTGTGAACTAGGGTAGTCCTGAAAATGAACACAACTCCATAACATACAGAAAGAGGCTAGAGGATACATGTCGAACACAATTTTTTACTGACACTAAACTAAATGCACCAATCATATTTTTGGCAAATTTCTAATCATCTGTATTCTCAAAACCAATTGCCTCTACATCCTCTTTCAACTATATAGAAACATTTTTATTTCTTATTAAGAATCTCTTCCTTTTCTCAACACCTAGCTATCAGCTAAACAAAGATCAGCTAAACAAAGCTGATCTTTGTTTCAAGTACTGCCAACACAGAAATACTTCTTGTGATCCAGACTGCTGGATTTTAGAGTTTAGTGCTCAAATCTCAGCTTTTCAAAGAGAACCTCCCTCTGGAATGAAAGTTATCTGGGAAATATTGCTCAATGACAAAGTGGTCGAGAAAAAAAATGTAGGGACTATCCAGGACTAGAGTTGATTCTAACAGTATACAAGCCAATGAGAAATTTCTTAACACGTCCTTATTTTTTAAAATGTTACAACAAGCATTGTCAAGTAATAAAATTAACAAAACTAACTTACCTGTGAAGAGCTTCTGTGGTAAGCTGAGTAGTGAAGTGGTCCAGAAATAGCAGTATCATGTGGTAAAGATGGATACTGACTCTGCATTGGGTGGGGATGCTGGTTGCTATAGCTGCCATAGTTGTAACTTCCCGTGTATCTAAAATCCATTAAAAAGCACTGCTTAGCATGCATAATATTTGCACTCCCATTCATAGTTCTGTCATGTTTGTGAGAAACAGACTTGTGCTTTTTCTGCACTGGAGAACTACACTTTAAATAACGTTTTCTTGAAGATATTTCCCAGCTCAGATGGCAAGCAGATGCCACTTAGTGAGATCATGTTTTCAGCACAAGAACAATTAGAGAGACTCAGTATGTTTCTGTGACTAGTTTTAAATCGCAGGCTCATCTGCACAGTTTCTAAGGATATCGTCTTTTTTTTTTTTCGTTTTTATTGTTATTTTATTACCACATTCCTAGTAAACTGCTATCCAGGCCCTTCCACACAACAGACTGGTAGATGAGATTCTCCTCCACACATTTCTGGCAGTCTGCAGACACCAGACATCATTTCCCAGAGCAGCCTCCTCTGCTTGAGGAGGATGCTTGCCTATCCAGTCCCCACAGCTGCCCAGGAGTGCCATTGGATTCCCTGCTTAAAGCCACTCTCTGTTAAGGCCTGACTGCACTTCATGCTTTCTCTAGGCATCAAGATGCTCTGCCCCTGAGAACTGGCAGTTACTTCAGCTGTGACTCTGAGAGAACGGTGTGGTGATGGGGCAGAGAATAATGCAAAGCCCTGCATCAGAGACAGCAAAACTCCTGCAGAGGTAAAGGTTGGGCACCAAGTGGCAAGAAAGCAGCTGTGCTGAATGTAACTTGGAGGTTCTGGTGGACAAAATACTGATCAAGAGGCGCCACTGTGCCCCTGCACTAAAGACCAACATGGCCTTCTTGGCCTACTTGCCCATATTAGCAGAAGTGTGATCAGAAAGCCTAAGAAAGTGATTATTGCCTCTCTCTGGCATCTGACACTGTATCTGAAGCACTGAGTCCAGTGTTGGGCTCTTCACTCCAAGGACATTGACATACTGGAGTCCCGTGGAGGACCATCAAGACAGGGGGCTGGAGCACATGATGCACAAGGAGAAGCTGAGAGAACTGGGCTTGTTCAGCTGTAAGAGAGGCTAATGGATGATCCACAGCTATCCAACAGGACACCACACAGCAGATGTTCCACACAGGAGAGAAGCAAGCAGTTTCAGGAGTTCTTTTTTTGTGTGTGTCCCTGAAGGTGCCACTTGAAGGACATCTTTTGGTTTTGCTAATGGATATTTGGCTAGCAAGGTATGTAGCTGAGTCTTCCAATATCTCAGCAAGCCTTTAGAAAGCCCAAACAATTCCTTCTATTGGAAACAGAAGGAAATAATTTTAGAACTCAGAATTACTCGAAGAGCAGACAAGAACAATTATTTACCTATTTTATTACAAACTCAAATGGGATACCTAGGAAATGTTGTCTAAATTTCCTCAAAGTGAAACCACAGTTGACTCGATATTGCAAATCTTCTGTTTACAGTCATGATCCCACATATGTGTGCAGGCTACTCCTGTGGATTTAGAAGGAGGTTTTACTAGAGCGAGGTAGAGTGGTTTATGAACCTTGTGGTCTTCTCCAGTTTCACAAACCTAGGCTATAGTATTGCTAGCTGTCAGGCTTGTCTTAATGACAGGGAACAGGTCATGTAGCCATTTCTTCTTTTTTTGTTAAGGATGCATTTGGACTTAATCAGTTTTTATTTTACAGGGCGTAGTTTTTATCATTAGAGTTGCATTTTACTTCAAGAAAGTGGCCCCAAGGACAATTAAAATACCTGTATATGCCAAGCCAACAGTCTGTATTTATCTCTCTTCAGCACTATTAGAACTTTATATTGTTCCAAGGGCTCAGATCTTCCAACCTCTGGAATGCTTCAGTGTTTTAGGCATTCTCCTTCTAGCTCTGGATACTCTGGGACATTTATGCTTCACAAAGGATCATCTTTAGCATGCAAGATCGGTAGGGAGCCCAGTAGAAGTGCTGTCGGAAAACTTACAGGCGATGCTGGGTGGCTAAGAATCTGCATTTGGTGGGGATTTCATCTACAGGTAGCTCATGGCCTGCAGGTTGCTTATGGGCTCTGTTGGGCTCTTGCCATCGGAGCGTGGCTCAGTCTTTGGGGCTACGACAGCTGCTCACTCTACTTCAAAGTCATTTATTCTTCTTCCCCAGAAACCTGGAAATCTTTGTACAGACTGTGATCTTCTCTGTTTCTTTCAGGGCAGCCATCTGCTTGAATCTTGCATACAAGGTCTCTTATTTTTCTCTTCTTGTCTGAATATATGGTCCTTTAATGCTTTTAAATAAGCAATGTCTGGAATCTGTGACTATACCTTCCAAAAGATCCATCTAATGAGTTTTGCACTTCCAAACACTGTGAGGAAGGTCACTGGATTTCTCTGCAGATGTTTCTCATTAATGTATCACATTAGACTCAAATCATATAAAAGCTAAAATATAAATATGCTGTTTTCTCTGTAGATCTCGAAATAGGTACATATTGTAATGACACACAAATATTTTATAGTAGCATGGAAAGGGCAAATGATACTGGGAAATCTTTTTGCTAGATACCACGTAAATGCAGATTAACAGAGGGACTCTATCTGTATGATTTTACAAACTCAGTTGCAGACAAGAAGGCAGATGTCACTGAATCATGCAGAAGCATCGCCAGACTGTTTCTATGCATGTGTCAAATATAAAGCTAAATAGCAAACAAGACAAATTATAAAAGTCTTTTTTTTTTGTCTATTAGAAAAGTCAATTCACCCAAATAAAAAGTTTCCTTAGATCACCTACTTGAGGCAAAGGGCAGCTGTAATAGCAATAAACTTTCACGCGTGTATATATAGATGTATTTACATATATATGCAATGCCCTACTGTGGTCTGTTCAAATTCTTATATCTTGTGAGCTCCAGAACAGTCCTGCTGCCCTACTTTTGTCTCCAGCAAAGCTGTCTCCAAGCTAACATATTCCTAGCAGCAGAGACACTCCATATCTCTCACAGCCAGGTTTCCTTAGCAGTGACATTCAGATAGAAATCCAAACCTGCCTACATCCAAGAGGGAAGAAGATGCAGCGTTCAAATTAATCTACTTCCAAGCAGTATGGAAACTTCCATGCTGGCAGACTTTGACTCCCTTGCTTCACGCCCGCATCTGGACATCAGCTAATGTAGGTATGTGTCTGTGAACTATTTTGTCATGATTTCTCTGTAATTATGGATATCTATGAGATAAACATTCTCTCAGAGGATGGCACATGAAAAATTTTGTTTGGTGAAAAGAACACTTCAACTTTCTGAAGTATTTCAAGATCAAGCAGCGCTAATCAAATTTCTATTATATATATTTTTTTTTAATGATGGGGATGGGATTAGAATATTATGGTGAATATGTGGCTGTTCTCTAAACCTTAGACATTTTTGTTTAGCAGGACTAACAATAGTCATGGTGCAGGATGATAGTTCTTTGGACACATTTGGCCTTTGAGATGGAATATGGCCAGGGAAACAGGTGTCAGAGACAGTAAGGAACCTATTGAAATCATTTCTTTTAGGAAATATTCTCCAGACATACTTTTAAATGGAAATAAAAGGGTTTTATGAAACGGAGACATAGTATAATCATGCAACAATTACAAAAGCAGAAGAGTAACTATACTGTGCAGTACAGACCTACTACATTGAGAAAAAAAATTCATTACCCTTCCAAAAGACCTTGGTTCTTGCTTTTGGTAAACTTTGGTTTATCCAAAAACACAAGAAAGCCAGATACTGGAAAGTGACTTACCCATGTTCTTCTCTATGAGGGTAAACAGGTATCCGGTGTGTGACAGATGACGACGGCACATGTGGGTTTCTCATGCAGGGCAACTGTTGGGAATTTTCTGCAGGTGACCCAGCAGCTGTTGTCACGGTGTAGGTGAGGGACCATGTGTAGGACTGCATAGCCCCTGCAGACAAACAAGCATCGAGCGAAAACAGGTAACATGAGCTGTTGTTCTGGTAAGGGCTATACTCGGAAATGGTTGCAGAAAAGCAACCTAACAGGCTCTAATAATGGAAGTGGGATCAATCACAGTGAGTAAAACACTCATGCCTAAGGCACTAAACAAAATACAAATAGATCAGCTGGAGTGCCCAGAGAGACATAGATAAGAGGTGCTTCTGGAATATCTCCGGCTGTGAACCTTCAGAGTGAAGCTGTAATTTGAGGCTAACATCTTCTTATAAAATGGAGATAAAGCTTAGAGATGGAGGAATAGCTGGCGTTACTACGCCTTAGGCATGATGCAGCCAACCTGGAAGCCTCTCTCACACAGAGCGGGGTGCTGGCCTGTTTAGTCCTCAGGCTGATCAGGCCTGGAGGGAAGCATAAGCTAAGGGCAAAAGGACTGGCAAAAGATGTGCCTTACACTATACATTTCTTGAACCTTTACATGGTTTTCATCTGTTCCGCTCTCTGAGGTACCAACTTGCATCGTGAGAACACTGTGGTAGCTCCCCAAATTATATATATATATATACATATATAAAAACGCAGAAATAGCCCAGCCCTTTTAATTCTGCAAATAATGTGTCTTTCTTCTTCTTATGTGGCAGGGACCGGATTTAATTGACTTTTTCACAGAGTGCATTTGTGGGAAGAGCAAAGCAAAGAAGTGGGCTGTGCATTTGGAAGGTGCTGAGTGTTTTAATCAGGCCAATCCCTTCCAGGCAGGAAGGCCGGGCTCAAGAGCCAGCTGCTGAGAAACCCTTGTCCCGTGGCCACCTCACGTGGCTGGGTGGCTGACAGAGCCCGTGGGCCAGACAACACGGCTCTTACTGCAGCTCATGACCAGCCTGGCTGAGATTGCCCTGCAGATGAGAACCAGAGAGCTTAAGGCAACCCAAAGGGAACACTAGTTTGGGGGCCCCTGGGTACTCTTAACTCATTTTCACTGGCTAAAAGGGCTACGCTACCTCAGATGCACATGATTGTCCTCAGGTGTATGTGAATTTTTTTATGAAAAAAATCAGGCAAATTATTCTTTGGAGCAGGAAATGCTCAATTTTGGGTTTCAACAAAGCCTTGTAAGCTTCACAAGGTAAGCCCAGCCTGAAATACTCCCGTAGGGTCTGATTTGGTGATTTCATAGCAGAAACTTTCTCCAATGCGTAAAGTCCTATTTTCACATCTGCATTTTTCATCAAGGACGGCTGAACTTTCTGTCTTCCATTTCCTCCCATTGCAGAGGACCACTGAGATCTCTGAGGTCAAAGAAGAAGCATATTCATCATCTGAGCTAACACATCAATGTTATAAGCTATAAGCAGACACTCCTTGAGTCAAGGAAGTACTTACGGAAGCCCACCTTGGCTGCAAAGTATGTTTTCAGGGAAAGGGGCCAAAACTACTTATGCACCCAGCAATTAGCCTCATTTGAAAACAAAAGAAGACCTATTCTGATAATATCACAAATTTACTGTAGCATTTCTGTTTCAGATGGTCAGCATATTTTCCTAGTGGTATTTTCCAAAAGAAGATCTGTAACTTTGTTTTAAAACAGACTAATTCAAAAGGAAAAACAAAGAAAAAAGAAAAAAAAGCCTGTTAAAAACAAATATTTACTTTAGATACTGTTAGCTTTTTTAACTTCTTAACTTCCCCATAAGACAAGTTTTGCTTTGACTTGATTTTATTCTTTTCTAGTACTTCACTATGGCTGTTGAACTAAAAAGCATATGACCTCCCTAACTCTCACAGGCAGTGACAAAGCCAAAGGATCCTTTATTCTAAGGCATTTTAGGAAATATGATTTATCTGACAGGCCCCAAGCCACTGGTACAGCCTTTTTTTTTAAAAAAAAAAAAAGAATAGTTGGGATCTTATCTCAGCCTGAGCAAAACGAATCAATCCATGACAGCAAGTTGTTTCATTTGTTCCCTATGGGAGGTCAGGCTCCTTGGACTTGGTCACTTCTGGCATTCAAGCATAAGTGGCAGTCACCCCCACTCAATTTAAAAAAAATAATGTTTAGATTTTGACATGCTGTGTGCTTGTCTGGACAACTCTGAGAGAGAAATACAAAGAGATTTTGCACTGGAAGAGCTGTGAATGTCTTTAACTCTGTTAACCAAGAAGTGTCCCAGAAATATCTTTTTTTTTAAGAGAGATTTTGGGATTAGAAACAAACATATATTGGACTTTACTCTGGAATTAGAGAGACACAGGATGCTGTTCAAAGATCTTTCTTGTCAGGATGTTCTTGAGAAAAAATCCCTTTGTGGAAGGGATGCTGTTATTTTCAGAATGCCCTAGTCTCAGAGAGAAAGGAGGAGGACGTAAGAAGATAACAGACTTAGAGGCTGGGTGTATATATGAGGTCAGTGCCTACACTGTCATGTGTGGAAAAGGAGGAATGATATATGTTTGAAGAGTTGTAGATTTTGATAGTTATCTTTCTAAAATCCTCCTGTGCCCCAGCTCCATACAATTAATTTTCTCAGCTAGCTGCAGAATGGAACTCCGGGAGAGGAAGTCGCTTTTAGATATGACTGAACCCAACTGAACTGCCTTCTGAAATAAGCAGGAACAATAGTGGTTGAGCAATGTTTTGCTCTGCTTTGTGTTCTGAACATGCAGGGTTTGATTAAATAGGGAAGTTCATTTATCATCATTCTTTTTTTTCTTTTTTTCTTTTTTTTTTTAAGATAAATTTGATTTTGGGGGTATTAACCAAGAAGCCTTCTGACTTGTAAGAGGCCCAGTGTATAAATGGAGCTGCTGGCAGTGCAGCTATGGTTTTGTCGTACTAATGCCTAGCGAAACCAGAAGTGACAGGGAATTCCATTCACAGAACCATGTGGTTAGGACCATGTGTGGTCCATGGACTGCACCAAAGGCCATGCAAATATCCTGAGCACGTGCTGTCTCAGTGCACAAACTGCATATGGCACTTACAGCTTTGAGCAGTCCCTGATAGCTAGATTTTGCTGTTGATATGCCACTGGTGTCATCATGAACACCAACACAAAAAAAGAATCAAAAGCTACTTTACAACGTTGGATTTTTATGTGTGCTTTACGCTAGAGTAAATTCCCTCTTCTCTCCTCCCCAACAAATAGATTATCTTAAAAATCAGATTTAGAAAAAAACTCAAATTTTCCATTGAGAAAGTCTGGAAGCCCTTTGAAGTTGAAACTGTTGATTTTTACACCCTACAGCTATAAGAATTAAACTAATTCTTTAAAAAGAGCTGATGTTCTCATACTTTCATAGGAGTCCAAGAGCTGGAACTTTAAGGAAAAAACAGAATGTCATTGTGTGATGATCTCCAGAGATTCCTTCCAACCTCAACTGTTCAACCATTCTGCATTCAAAAACAAAAATATCAGGAGAAGTGGTAGCTCTATGCAGGCATCTCCCATGTCAGAATCCCAGAAATTTAATATCTCTCCAGAACCTGGAAAAATACTGTCTTTAAGTGACTACTACTGACATTAGGACTTAAATCAGACATACATATCTTGAAACTAAATAGTAAACTGCATAATTAATTTGCTAATGCATTAGGAGCTACTTACAGTTCAGAGGCCATTTCACGTTGTCAAAAAAGCATTGCATTAGTAAATGAGAAATCACAATTTCAGGAAGAGCAGAGAGGAAGAGCAGAGTCAGCCATACTGTTATCACTTTTATTACAATATCATCGCAGTTTGAACAATCATTAATCTGGTCTTTGCGACTTAAAAAGGATTGAGACTAATTATCCTTTTAAATGTCTAGTAACCTAACAAAAAAGATTTAAATAAAATGTTAGCTGAGGCATGCCAGATGTTCTAAATTAGAACACTATACATAGGATTTGGCTTTCTTTTGCTTGGTGCCATGCAATTTCAACAGTTTAATTTGTGGTTTTGTGGTGACCATTGAACGAAGGCAAGAAGGTTTAAATGCAAGTTAATAGTTAACTTTTATTGCTAATGCCACAAGAGAAAAAAAAAAGACTTAACAATGCCTTTAATTAAGGGACTAAAAACTAGTGGGAGCCAATGGGCTTAGTTTTCAAGTTTTGCAAAGCCTTTTCAGGGTCTGACATTTACCTTATAAATGATGTTTCAGAAAATAAATAGTGGCATTTAAATTTATCCTCCAGAAGTAAGGTCTAATATAAAATAAATCCAGAACATTTTTTACATATACTTTATATTTAGTTTGATAAATTATTTTCTTTGAAAGACCTGTTTTCCATTTTATTTTCTAAAGTTATTTTCAAATATTGATTCTCTAGCTCTGTACCCAGAATAGTTGGATCATAGAGCACATTTTCAGAACTTCTATTTTAAACTAAAACTGTTACCTATAACATGGTTACAAGAAAGTTAGATTCCTATTGTACACTTGAAAGCATGGTGTTATTTTATATTACTGCAATCTGTGGTGTAATGGGTAGAGATTCCTATTGTACACTTGAAAGCATTACTGCAATCTGTGGTGTAATGGGTAGCAAACCAAGGCGGCAATCAGCTCATCTATATGATGAATGTGGGAAATAGAAGTATCTTTAATTGTCTCAACTAAGCCAAGGAAAAGTTCACATACTTGTACTTACTCTTAACCAGACCACTGCTTGGCACTGACAAATTTGGCTTGTAGCAGACAAAAATGATTTTCATGTTAGTGAAAATGAGACTGCACCGGATGGTAAAAGTCTCAGTCATCCAAAAAGAGGTTTCTAAAACACCCTGAAAATGAGAAGTTGGCAAAAGCAGAGAGCTAAAATAATCAAAAATTACATTCTTGCCTAAAATGTTCTGCTCGGGGAACAACTTTGAACAGTTCTACTGCCCGTACTGAAGGAGCAGGTTCTTCAGCGACTGTCCTCAAATGATCCATTTCTAGCTTGAGACTTCACACTAGCAAGACTAAACACTTAGATGGAAAGAAAGCATGAAAGAGCAAAAAGAGAGTAAAATAAAGTAAGGCATAACATGAGAACAAAAAGGAATTACATCTGTAATGTTTGTGTCAGTCCATTCTCTCATATTGCTGCGAGAAATCAGGAGGGAGATCTAAGAGCCAGGCAGTTACCTCAGTCAGGCATGCTCAGAGAGCTGACAAACAGACTTAAAGATGGAATAACTTGGGTTAATAGTTACCATAATCACATAGGTTTACAATCTCTCCAGCATAAACAGAAGTCCTTTCAGTCTCATTTTTTCTATGCCACACAGTAGGCTCTCTGTGGACGGTTACCTACTTTTCAGTCTTTTACTTCTGAGCAGAGTTCTGCATCATGCCTAAATTTTGCCTATAAGATCACAACAATCCCACTTGGCCACAATGTCTGCAGACCAAGTTATTTGGACTCAGTGTTTCAAGACCTAGAGATACATACCCCCTCAGTGACTGCCTGATCCAAAATTGTGTGCTCACCGCCCATGTCCAGGAATCACACAGCTCTTCTCTAACTGCCCAGGGGGTAATATCATCCTGTTTCCCTCCTAAATATAGTATAATCTCCAACAGTGAAAAAACCTTGAGTTTCAATGTAAGAACAAATGTTCTGAAATCTCTTTTCACCACAACTATGCATTGTGCTTCCCTGTGGCGCCTTTGAAAACACGAACAACATTTGTCAGAAAGATTTATTAGTCCTTTGGCCTCTGCCAAATTATCCAGGGTGGTAAATCATCACTTTCTGACATTCTTTCAAGAAGGTTTTGTAACTTTTCTAGTACATCACAAGAGTGATCGTTTCCACATTCTGATTACACACCCATTTCACTGAGAAGCAGAAAAGCTAGATTTCCAGTGACGGGATGTCTTCTAAAAGTGCTTTACAGTTTTGCTTTTTCTCCCTCATAAATTAAGAAAATACAGCCTTTTGCTCATACAGACAGAAGTTCCTGCCCATATCCAAAAGGTAACAGTTGACTTTTACATTCGACTACCGAGCAGAGATGCCCAAACAAGAAGCCATTAGGGGCCTGCATTTGGTCTTACTGTTTGGATAATCCTAACCTCAAACGGAGTATATTTATGCACAGATTTATTAACCAGGAGTTTACTGTGACTTATCAGATTACAAGGTCATGAGTTGCCATAATGAAGTATGTAATAGAAAATAGGCTTCAGACATCCATTTCCCAATCTCTAGTATTGAAAGATGAAAGTTAACAACATGTAAACATTTGCAAGAGAAACTCACGCAGATGTTTAAATGTATTTTGGTCTCAAATATGCTGAAAAATGTCCAATTCTCATTTTACTCACTGGGAACTAAGTGGTTCAGCACTTTGAAAACCTCACAAAACCTTAATGTACCCAGTCCATCTCCATGAAGTACATAAATTTTTCCAGAGAGACTGAGTCCACATTAAAGTCATTTGAGATACTCAAAAGTATTATACCTATAAATATTTCTTTCAGTGCATTACTAGAAATACAAACAATTGAACTGATTTTAAAAACCACCTAAAAATAAAGTGACAGACCTTCTTCTCTGAAGTCCTCAACAACTAGGGAGATTCTGGTGTGCTAGAAGTAAGGTCTGGAATCTACTGTTAGGCCTTTGGCATCCAGGCATCACTTCTTTCCTGTTACACTGCGCACCATGTCCGGATAGAGCAAGAAAGTATTAATACTACTTTAAACAGACTTCAGTTTCAGAAGGCTCCTCATCTTTAGGGAACCAGTGTGTGTTGTGCTCAATTTCAGGTAGCTGAAAGGAAAAGTCATCTTTAGAAGAGAGAATAGCAGATCCTGCTGCTGTTGGCCTGCTTACCTGTTGTAGCTGCTATGCCAGCGTACTCTGGGGACTGGTTGCTGACAGGTGAGGGGGCAGAGGGCACTTCCACTGAGGTGGCAGATTTAGCTGGGGAGAACGGCACTGGGGAGGGAGTTGGAGGAGCTGGTTCACTCAGAATGATTTCTTCTCGTATTTCTGCTGTAAATTGAGGGAGAAGCCACCAAAAAAACATAGTTTAGGGTAGGTTCAAAGAACACTGTGAAACTCAAAAAAAAAAAAAAGGCAAGTATGTAAATGTATAACAGTAATCATGTAAATTTTGGAAAGAAGGACTTCTATCACATGCAAACTATAATAATCTTCTGTGTCTCCTCTTAAGACCTCTTAAAGTGCCATTTTTCTTGCTTTATACTTAAACTGATGTGCATACAGCCTTAGACTTATATATCTCCTATATATTATTAGGCACCTAAAGTTAAGAGTTCAGCCCGAGTTAGGCACTCCTGCTCCTTCTACAGACATAGGAAAGAACATCAGAGGAATTTCAAGGGGATTCCAGCAGCCAACAGTGGTAACTGTCTCTCCTCAGTGACTCCAGAGGCTCATGCTCTGCATAGTTCTAGGCTCCTAAAGCTATGTGGAAAGTGTGAAGGGCTAAGCAACTTGTTTGTCAAAAAAACAAAAGGCTATGGCAGGACAAGGAATTAAAACCAGGTCTTTCAACACCCAGAATATAGTACCCTAAACACTGGAATGTTTTCTTCCCATAAATCTCCAGGGAAGCAAATTAAGTCACAGATTAAATGAAGAGTACAGCTTTCCAAAGCTCATAGAGGGATTTAACTTGCGAAAACTAATGGGAGATGCAGAGAAAGAAGATCACTGAGGACTTCTCATTACAAAGGGAGCCCTGAGCAGAGGGACTAAAGGCAATTTCTGCTTGCTCCTGCTCTGGCAAGTCAGTGCAGAGTGAATGGAGCAAGACTACGATTCTGTTTCTGTACTTGTACTCATAACGTAAATATATCAGAAATGATAGCTTTCACTTTTGCCTTTGCTCACTTCTCCTATCTTTCCCTTCTACTTAGAGTGGTACAAATCCATAGATATCAGTGGAATTATTTAGTGGGAAACCAGCATAGGAGAATCAAGAATCATAAATTGACTAAAATGCAATTATGGTTTAGTCAAAAAGCTTCAGTACAAAAATCTCTTTCTAAAATACCACGTGTCTGCTTAGGATGGCATTCCAAACATCAGGAATAACATCATGAAGCACTTAGGCCTCTTTGAGAGCATATTAACCTGGGAGGCTGCCCAAATGACTTAGATCACGATGGAATTGATGGGACCTGGTATGCTTCTCTGGGATAGCTGAGGACAAGGAAGTGCTCTTACTTAGAAAAGAGTGAATCCAGTGGAATAAAATGACACAAGATGAATAAAAGAACAAACTCACCTGTGCTTCCTTCTCCTTTCATTGCCCTCATTAGCTCATTAGCTCTCTCCTGACAATGGAGTGATTCTAGCAGGTACAATACGTAATCATCAAACATCAAGTGAATAAGGTGAAAAGACCCTGGTAATAAAGTGAACAAACAAAAAAGCCATTGACTGTCTCAATACACTCATTAAACCAATGATTACAGTATTCAACAAAACAGGCACAGAACAGGCTGGCTTCTATACAGTACTGCCACAGAAACATGTCTCTTACTCAAGGTAACTCATCTACCAACGAGCAAGGACGAAGTCAAAGTAAATCTGGGAACAAAAAGCCTCTGTTTACTCCTGAACTTACATTTCCTTATGCTATAGCATTGGACAATTTAGACAACAGTACTATAGTGCAATTTCTAAAGCACTGGATAAGGTTTCTGTCAAAAGTAGAATCCAGAACTGGCCACCTTAATGACATGTCTTGGTATGACATTTCTGAACTACTTCTGTCACTGGGCAAAGAATGACGGACTAATCAACACAAAGGTAGAAACATCCTCCCAAATCTCCTGCCAGGGCATCTCCAGTGCTGGAGATGTCCATTAGTTAGAGGTACTAGCAGCAGTTGTGGGTATCTTAAAGGGAAAGACTTGAGCCAAAGGTTTGGTTGGCCAGACCTCTTTCCTTGTTACCTATTGTCTTTCCTAGTTATCATGACCTTTCCTAGTTACCATTTTGAATCATACAAGCAGCAATAACAACAGGCCTGTTTTTGTGTTTATCTCGGAAGATACCACGAGAGGAATGTGACCAACCTAGGAGTCTAAAAAGGAAGAGTATAGACAAAAAAAATGTGAGGTATGGAGTCAAAAATACATTCAAAAAGGAAGAGTAAAAGAGATTGTATTGATAGCTCTCTGCTACAAACATTGAAGTTTTGAGTACAGCTTAAGAACTTGCTAATGATATTAGCAGCAAGGCCTGGATGATGTTATGAACTACAGTAATAGAAATGAAATGAAATTTAATAGAGTGCTGTAAGAAGTTCTGCCGTGAGAGATTTGCAACAAGATTTTTTTGCTGTAATATAGAATTTCTTCAGTTAGAAATAACCGAACTGAGGGTAAACTATCTGGTGAGTCTCTGATGCAACTGACAATGGATGCAGTCACATTTCTCTGTACAAACAGAAGTATTAGTACTATTGCACAAGGTACTGGTGAAACCTCATTTGCAATACTGAATACACTCTGGTCACCCATGTTCAAGAAAGATTAGTACAAGCTGAAACTGGTATGGAGAATATTAGCAGGAGAACGGAGAGCAGATTTTAAAAGACTGGAAGTGCTTGGCTGGTTCAATTTCGTAGAAGGGAAGTAAATTGTTTTCCATAACATATGAAGAAGGATACATGTCATGAATCACGAATAATGAAGAAATATTTGCCCTAGAGAACATATTGTTGCAAAAACAGATGTGTAAGAACAGGCTATAGATGCCTGTCAACTGAATGTTAGAAGGAGCAAATTATCAGAGCTGAGACATGGTGTAGTGTCTTCCTGAAAGGAATAATGTGCATCTGCAGAGGAAGTCCAACTAGTTTCAAGATGGAGCACCATCAGTTTATGCAACAGACTCCATGACACAGAGTACCTGTACTAGCTGCAGACAGCACCCAATCACACAGTGGCTTCTTGAAAGCTCCTATGTTTATTTAGACATGTGTGGAATATTTAAAACATGTTTATGTGCTCATGTAAGTCATTAGGTAACTCTGGCTAGTGCCAATGCAGCCAGGCAGGTATAAATAATAGCCAACAGAAAAATTACCCGCTGAGAAAGAAGCTGAAGCCAGCTACTCCCCAGAGAGAGAGAAAAAAAAGTGTTTCTTTTGAAATTCTATTACTATGAATTTGGGGAAAATACTTCTCTAGGAAAAAGATGCAACAAGTTTCAAATTCAATAAATTTCATAAAGATTTGGTTTCTTTAATATGAAAGATAGAGGTTACATTTATGTTGGGATACTAGCTTTCACCATGGCTAAGCCTAAGTACCCCTACTCCACCTTCTCTGCTCCTACTGATGAAGGGCAGAGGAAATCTTCTGAAAGGCCCTATACCCTTACACAATCCTAGCCAGCAATTCAGCTTTCAAGCTTTCAGAGCAGCTCGCTCTCCTTTTCCTTCTGTGCTCACCTCGTAAGCGCTGAGCACACACACCAGCAGGAGAACACCTGCCTTTATGGCCCTGGCAAGACCGCAGAGAGAGACAGGGATGATTGCGACCCCTTTGCTATGAGGAGGAAATCTGGCTGTTGAGGAACCTGAAGCGCTCCGCTTTTCCTTAGTGTTTTGTGTCATCCCATGCAAATCAAAATGGGAAACAAAACATATGCCCAGCCCTGCAAAGGCAAATGGTGTCTGCACTTGACCTTTGTAGAAATTTTGTTTTAGAAATTTTCTGAGCTAAACACCTTGCTGAATAAAATCCTGTAAAGGCACTGTAAAGATGGCAGGCCTTGTTGATCACCTTGCTACTGACCCAGGATTTCCACATTTTTCAGTGGAAGTCCTCTGTTGACTTTATGCAGTTACTACTCATATGTATTTTCAAGGCAAGAAAAACAAGTCTAAATATTTGGTTCATTGAATCTGCCAATCTTCATGTGCTGAACACAGGGTTCAGGGTGTTTAGTAATTCCCATGAAACTCCACTCTCAGCTTTCCTTTTAAAAAAGAATTTAAAGCAAGTTCATTGTAGTTTTACAGAAATGTTTCGAACTGTGAAAGCTAAACACTAAAATGCTAAAAGCAAAAGACAAGAATCTAGAATTCGCAATTATTTTTTTAAAGTCTTTGTTTGGAGGGGATCTGATGCTTTATTTTGAAGCCGTGGGGTTGGCAATATTGAATGCATCATTTAAAAACACTCCAGTGTCTTTGACACTCTTTTGAATTTCTCTCTTCCTCCCTTATTATTTCTCCCACTGTGTATTTTTAAACTCTGCATAGAGTTTTTCAGTCCAGAATTTGTATGAAAGACACTAGACAAACAAGTTGTCAGTGCTGAACGAATGCAATATTTTTACATCCTAAAATGAGTCAAGTGAAATGTAAGCTATAGAGTGAAACCAGTACCAGCACATGCATTTCAGCTGCACAGTGAATAGCTATTCAGCACAATGTACAACAGTTTGTGTTTGCAAGCTACTGTTTTTCACAGGAGACTATGTTTGGATCTTTCAAGTATATCCTTACGTATTGAAGAGGATGCAGCTGTGGCTGGTAAAACTTACACTCCTTTAAGAAGAGGTCAGAAGTCATTTGAGAGATTGCAGTTACAATAATAAATAGCCATTTGGCTCTAATTTGCAGAAGGCATTAGCTGAAATCATTGCAATGATTCCCCAGCTAAGGTACAGTTAGCATCAGAAGCTATTAACAGATAGACACAGCACTTAGGTGTCAGGAGCAAAAGAACAGTGAGATTTCCAGATCTGGAGAAAATCATGGAGCTTCTATGACTAATTAGGGTGCATCGCCACCAACTGTGCCTTTGATATGCACAGACAGGAAGGAGGGAGGCAGGCAGAGAGAGAGACAGAGAGACAGAGAGAGAGAAGAGAGAGAGAAAGGGAGGCGGGGGGAGAGAGGAGCTTTTTTGGGTCAGGGATTATTTCAACCAGCCCACATCACCACGCTTAAAAGCTTTGCAGAATCGAATCTCCACATTAGTGAGCCCAGTGCCAGACATTGCAACTTCCTGAATCCAAATTTCCATATCACATATTTCAAAGATATAACTATTTTGCCCTGAATATAATGAAGATCCCAGCATATAACACATGATTTCACTTTTTTTTTTTTAGGTCAGCATCTGGTTCTGTTTATTGCTTAAAGTGGAAAAAAAATCAGAAAACAAACAAACAAAAGGTCCATTGAACAAGTTTCCACATGTAGCAAAAAAAAAGCAGAACTTTTAACCTAAAATAAGGGTAGAAATATAAAGATGATGGTATTTAAAATAGTAAAACAGTGTCTTTTTTTTTCTCTCTCTCCATAGAGCACACTAAAATGCATATGCTATTATAAAAAGGTGCAAGGAACTGCTAAAATAAGTGCAGAGGAGCTTCTGCCTTCTAGCTCTGCTCTGCTTTCATTCTCCGGTTATTCTACAGGCACTTGCTGAGCTCTGCTTCAGGAACGTGTCAAATGGCCTCGCACTGTAAGTATTATAGTGTTAATACAAGAGATTATAGCTTTGGCTTTGTTGCTAAATTACCTTTGGGCCATTTTTGGAGAAACACGATTGGGTAGTCCAGGCATTGCTCTGCTAGCAGGAGAATACAGTTTTGGTACCGTTCTCACCTTTGAAAGCTGGAAGGCCCAGAGCTCCCACTGTCTCCAGTGGACTTGCAGGATTGTACCTGGTGTAGGCGACACTCCACCCTGTCTAAATAACTGGTAGAAGAGGGACAGAACCAAAACTTGTCGCCTTTACACTGAGTTCAAGATTCTGCTGATGCAGGTAACTATGGCCTAAGCACCAAAACATGGCAAAGATGGAAAAGCATGCCCTTTTCTTTTACTTTTCAAAACGAACAAAGATTTTTGAATGGATTAAAACTCCAAACTACCTCAGCTTCATTCTGGCCCACAGTGATTTTTTTCACTCTTGCTTTGACTGCTACATTGAAAAGCACTTACTGACCCAGTCCTAATTATAATACCAATGAGTAATTCCCAACGTTCACATTTGCCTATTTGGCAAGCTCATAAATGTTTTCATTAATAAATAAAATCACAGCTGAGGATAACTACATAGACTTTCCAAAGGGCTGATGATCTAATAAGTAATTTGGGAATTCCTGATTGAGTAAAAATATTTTGATATCTGATGCTTTGAAAGAGAGAATGTTTGATTAGTTTACTTATATATCCTAACAGAAATAAAAATAATACTGCAATGTGCATCCCAGTAGCAAAAATAAATCCTCAGAGGCCCTTTAATTTCAACATTTCTGATTTTAACAGTGTAACCTCAACACTATACTAATGCAGAATGGCTTTTCATTTGTTGACTGCTGGTGTATTTTCCACATTGGGGTTATGCTTGCAGAGAGCAGTATAGTGCCCCAATGTGCTGGAACACAAAATTCAGCATTTGTTCAGCACTCATACAAGAGGTTTTTCAATATGGGCAAGTATACTGTGTTAAGCAGCATCAGAGCATCAGTTAGACGTTTATGCCCACAGCAAGAGGAAAGCTACAGCGACTTACAGAGAAAATGAATCCTAAGGGGATGGGAAATAGATGCAACCAGGATATTGGTGCTGAAAATGCAATCTAGCAAATGGAAGTTGTGATCATCTTAGGGATGTCCACTGTCCTGATGTATAGTAGCGATTCAATAACACCTGCTTGGGAAACTTAACAATGGAAAACCCAAGAAAAGCAGTTCCAGATCAAAACATAGTCTATTGCGAGTGCCTATCTCTCATGGTATCTGAATACTAATAGCATAAATCATACTGAAGTTCAGCTGGCAGAAAACCTTGGAGTTCAGTGCAGTGCTTTCATAATTTCATTTGTTATTAATCCAATAGCATATCCTGACAAATGTGCATTTATAAAAACCATTGCTCATGAGAAACATGGTCCCAAATAACTGAGTGTTCGTACTCACAATGTGATAATCCCTTTTCAATTATCTCTGCTTTTAACTGATTTTAACCTAACCCTCCAAATGAACTTTTTGCATCCCAGGAATCAAAGCAAAGTCCCTTTTAAAAGCATGTAGAAGAGCAGCATGCTTTTTCACTACAAAAAATAAACGTCTATCTTTCCACTCTGACTGGATTTTAACAGTATGGAAAAGGACTTGCCAGGGGTATAGAAACACAGTTTGCAAAGACTGGTTGAAAATACTAAGTTTCTTAAAAGCAGAGCTATCAAAATGGCTCGCTGGAGAACTTTTTATCTACTTTAGTGCCAAGCCATCTACCTGGCACAACGTGCAGCCACAATGATTTAGGTGACTTGGCTGCCTTTGCCCTGAAGTGCTCAGGTAACTCCTGCAGCTGACTGCGACTGACTACCCCAGCTACGGGCTGACACCAAGCACAAGGAAGCAGTAATGTTTTCAGCCATGCCAGCTAGATCTGCAAGAAAGGCCTCGATATGAGCATTATTTGCAAATGTCAGTAACCCCAACTAAATTTCAATAGGTGAAAACAGGTATGTTTTTACTTAACTGTACATTACAAGCCAGGATATAGAATTTTTGAACCATGCTATGCAAGTATTTCAACAAAATGAAAGTACCAAAACTGGGTGCACTGTGCAAAGTCATATCCCGAATCACTCGAGTGCCAAAACAGGACCACATCGGCAGGAACTGCTGAGCTACTTTCTTCAAAGAGCCTTGTCTCTTGGCAGCTACCTACAAGAAAACAGATATATCTGACATGGAGAAACTTTTATTTTCACAGCCTGATTTAGCTGAACAATGCAATTCATGTGAACCTACTAATTAAAAAAAAAAAGAAAAAAAAAGAAAAAAAGGAAATATAGTTACCATTACCTTGACATTAAAATAAACATTGAAAATTCAGAAAAATATACCCAGAAAGCTATCTTATTACTATGTAAAACCATTGGAAAGATGAAGCTCTTGAGTATTATTCAACATCAAACAGAATTTCCTTTGCAAATAATGAAAAGATTTATTAGACTGCCAAAAAAAAAAAAAAAGCTCTGGTCTTCATCTTAACCTAATTTTTATTTCATGATGATTTCTAGACAGGGAATCAACAGTGCTTTATTTACACTGAAAACATATATTAATATTTCAATTAAAGTTTATTACCAAAAATATTTATTCCTTCACATTTTTTGTTCTTGTAAATTCACATAATCATTTTACTAGCAAAAGTACTTCCCAGAAAGAAGAGCTTTACCTCTTCAAAGCTTACTTTCTATAGTCATACTTAAGTTAAAGGATCTGCTAGTAAAATCCATGCCAAGTTCTTCCTGAAAAAATAACAGTTAGGGTCTAAATTTCAAATTGTATCATTAACTAAAATAGAAGTTCCTCCCCAAAATGACAATCTGGAATAACAATTTGAAATTTTTTAATAGAACATCCTAATACAGAGTAGAGTTAGTGACAGAAGTTAAAATAGTCAATCCTGTAAGTACATACCCTGTGTAACATTATAGTGATGGCTAAATAAATTTGAAAATATTTTTAATGATTGGTCAGTAAGGTTCCAGGCCAAGGGAAGCCAAAATAACATAAGTCCTTGGTATCCCAAACATATAAGTCCTTGGTATCAATTTCAAACCAGCATAACTGTATCCTTTTCTGAATGGTGGACATTTCATCTTTACACTTGAATGCACAGAAATTGATTAGCTGGCCTAACTATCCTCTTCTTTAAAATTTCAAAAGGACAAACAACGTAACCATGTCCATTTGCACTAGATAGTTAGGATGATTTTGAATTAACTCTCTCTTTATACAAGTGAAATATTGATTTGCCTGGAAAAACCTTGTCTGTCCCATTCCTGAATATCATCTTTTAGGATGGAATAGACAAACCCAGAATGAACTCAAACACTAAATGTGAATAGTCCTTATACTGAGCATGAGAAGTACGGAGATTTTGCCCACTGCTTCTTTACTTTTATCCACTACCTATGCACAGTTGGTTGTTTTTCTTTCCCATTTCTACTAAAAATAGAGCTCATGCTGCACATCAGTGCCTCAGGCCCTAGCTGCCATTTACCAACCTTCACAACGCATCTGTCCACCATGGAGTCCAGCCACTCAATGTACGACTCAATGGGGGACTGCTCCTCCAGAAGGTGATCAAACTCCTGATACACTAACAAACAGAGAAACAAAAAAATACCCCAGTTCAGTGCTTGGATTCAAATAAGAGAGATACAAACCATGAAAGCCAACAGTAACTTCTCACAGATTTGCTATATTTACTATAATGGATTGATTAGCTATAACTGATTCAACTTTCTTGGTGCTGACCTGTTTGTTTTGCTTGCTTTCCATCTTGCTTTTGCTGAAAGTGACAGAGCCACTGAAAGTGGTATTTTAGCAGGAGCAAAATCAGGACCTATTGCTTGAAAAATAATATTCTAATTTACGCTGTAACTGTCCACGATGCCCAGAAGTGAATCATTGATAGTGTTCTCTACAAAGAGTGCGAAGCCAGGCCTTGACCTTGGTGATAAAAAAAGGTCAGGCATGAAATTGATTTAGAAATGCATAAAGAATCCTTTAAGCACCAAGTGGATGAGCATTGTTGATAAAGCTCTCATCTGTATAGTGCTTTAGTTGCAAAAGCATAATTTAACTGCTCAGAACATCTATTTGTGGTGCCCAAACCACAGAGACGCATGAAGATTTCCTGAAAATTTCCACTTCTTTAAAATAAATGCTATAAATGCAACAACGAATTTATCAAGAAGAGTTTCGAAAGGTGACCCGAATACTTTTAAACTCTCTGAAGAACACAGATACCTATTTTAATACCAAAAGCAAAAAGAATTAAGTCATTCAACTGCAGCTCTTAAAGCTGCAAGCCCCTAGTTTATTTATGAGAATCAGCAACTGGAAGACAAAGAATCATGTGCTTTGACATCTTGAGAAACAATTCAACTCCGCTAAAATAAATGGCCCAGTAAATCAAGACGAAATATACTCTGTACCCGCTGTGTCACAGGATGATCTCAGCGTGCTATGCATTTCCATTTATGCCTAGTTATAAGCATCACAAGAAGGAATTTCCCATCATAGGAAGTGAGAGTGGTGCTGGCAGAAGAGGCAAAGCACTGAGAGGTGGTAGCCTGGGAAGTGTGCCACACGAAGGACAAGCTCCTTGGGCTTCACTTCGGGCAACAGCATCCGAAGATGAACCAGCATGTTGGCCAGCAAGGCATTTGCTTTGCACTTGACTGTAACCTTGTTTATCTTATGCTTGCAAAAGCTGGATAGTCAGAAACACTATCCAGAGAAGAAAGGAAATAGTGGTGTTTGCTCCCCAGTTCACTTTTCTGGCTGCTGTTTTAATGGGTGGGCAACCTCACTTCAGTCAGGATAGGATCTAAGACAAATCCAAAACATCGTCTCCTTGCTTAAGCACTGGGCTAGACACAAACTGGGCAATAAAACAGATGAAGTGACTCGCATTCTCTGCAAAGAGGGAGTAGGAGCAGAAAAACAGATCAGTTGCCTGACTTGCTGCTGCAACAATATAATTGTGTACAATCCCCTACTGAGAAGACAAACTGCTTAGCCTCAAGTGACTGTTACAGATACCTCTACAGGACTTGAGAAAGGCAGAGGCAGCTACCACAAAACAGGAAAGAGCTGCTCTTCTACCCAGTGGTGTTTTTGCTTTGTTTTTCTTTCTTTTCTCTTCTCTCTAATCTTTCTTATAGGGAACCTATTTCTTTCCACTTACAGTAGCTGGAAATCATATGTTCTCAGTTTCCAAAACTGAGAATGTTAGACTAGGTCTCAAATCTAGATCACAGTAGTCATGTCGAGTTAGACTTTTGAAAGGCCAAGTAGACTACACCTCAACGATGGGGAAAAATAAGTCAAAAACCCAGAATCATCCCCATCCATATCTACGTTATCTCAGTAGGATCCATTGTATGCTAAACATTTGTATTAGGTCAGCATTTCTGGGTGCTTCTCTCTCTCCTGGTTGGAAGATATGACTCCACCACGTTTCACTGCAACATGTGCCTAAATCTATTTGCATTTGGGAAAAATTCATTTGATTTGATGTCACTCAAGTTTCTGTGTAAGCTAAGCTTCTCAGTATTTATCTTAAGCCTCCACTGTTGCGACTTCTCTTGATAACTGCACTTCTTTACCGCAAAGCAATGGCTGCAAAACTGAGCAGTGTTGCTTTCACTGAGTTTTGTTTGCACCAGGAAGCCAAGTTCACCTGGCTTTATTTGGCAGTTCTGCTCTTACATTGTACGATGAGCTTCCTGTGTTCCTCCCTTGAGTCCTCCATAGTATAGAGGGTTTGTTTGGTAATGCTATTCAGATCCACATTCCTCCAGTCCTCCAGCATTTGGAATGTGATGTCTGCACTGTGGATCACCGTTCTTGATGCCTGTAATCCAATCCAATCTATTCATTAGTTCATGGTTTATTAGATTAAAAAATCAGCTTTATCCCCTTTTACGCTTCCTTAGCTAGGCTCACTAAGTTGATTCTCCTTATGGACTCCCACCCACCACTCTGATCTGATGGGAGTTACAGGGGCCTGCAAGTCATTTCACCCGTGCTACTCAGCTGCAAGTCTTTGGCTCCCACCCCTCACAAACCTAGGTGAGCTCTCCCAGTCTAGCTGTTCTGTTGCTTGATTCCTCAACAAACAACAGTTCTGATGGCTTTCTTGGGCAGTTTCAGTCCCAAAACAAAATCTCCCCTTTCCCAAACTCTCATTCTGCCCTCCACTACATGAAAAAAGCTCGAGTCCATTTGCCTCTGCAGCAGCACCTGCCACTTGGGTATTAGAGACAGGAATTTGCTGCCAGTGAGCAGCAAATGGGCTGAGAAGAAAGTGGTGCAAGGCCATGGCCATGTAACACACACCAGCTCCCTCTAAGATAAACAGGTGATAATCTGCATTATTAGCTTTCCCAAGGAAATAATGCATTTGATGAGTTCTTCATTGGATGTCAGGCCTGAGGCAGAAGGCTGTGGCCCCTATATGAATGATTCCGATTTCCTCTGAATCCCTATGGATCGTCAAACTCCAGAGGTGGCCCACCAGGTAGCACTGCACCACTAAAATAATGGAGGGATAAACCAAGGAGTCTCTGAGGGCTGTTTTTGTCCCCCAGCCTCCTCCTGTGGGCATTTCCACTCTCAGGTTTAACCTGGGGTGTTGGCCATAGTTTTCCAAAGTGGAGCTTTCACCATGATTAGGAAAACAAATTGTCTATTCAGACACATGGGTGAAACCATTGAGATCAGTGGAGCATCTCCTTTTTATAATGTACAAAATATGGTTTTATGAACTTTTTATAGGTGACTGTGATCTAAATGAATTGCTGAAAAAGGAACACTGGAGAGTACTTTTCATATTCACTTGTCTTGGCTGCATATTTCAGTTCAAAATATGAGGAGTTTGAATCTTTAGCTTTTTACTAAGTTTCATTTGATTTATAACATGTATTATTGATTATTGATTTATAACCTGTATTATTTTGTCAAGCAGGTAGAAAGTTTTTTTGCTTTGCAATGAGCCTGATCCAAACTCCACTGAAATCAATGGAACATCTCTTGTTTATTTCAATGAAATGAACAATCTCTTTGGATCAAAATCTAAATTTGTTTCATAAAAGTTCTCCATATAACTTAGTTATCAGAGAGTGACAAGTACCTATCAAGGCATTTTGCTAATTACTTTTTGATTTTTGTAAAGATTGTCAGAGTGAATATTGAAGACAATCTGCTAATCTCTTTATCTCTGGGTAAATTCCAGCCTGCCGATGTATCAAATTATTAGAAAAGTCAGTAAAAGCGGTATTCAGTAAAAGTGAGTAACTGAAAGATTTACCTGGCAGAGATGATTTAGTGATGTCTGTCGCCGAAGAATTTGTGAGAATCTTCTGGACACTATAGGAAAGAATAGTTATGCATTCATATATTGTGATAAATAACATTATTTTTCAACATACAATGTTAAAATCAGAATTTAAAAACATCCTATATTTTGGTAACATACAGTTGTGCATATACAGCTTATATAAAAAGCCCAGTTTTAATTTAATTTTAAAATCTTAAATGAGGATGCTCAATCAGTATTTCAAATAAGTATTATAAATGATGATTTATAGATGATGTAAATAACAAGATGACAAGAGAAAGGTAAAGGACAAGGGAAGAGCTTGGCTTGTTTAGCATAGAAGATTTTCTCTTGATACACAAAGAGACTAAAGACCTGAAAGAACAGGTGCAAGAACAAAAGAGCATAAGATAATGATAAATGGATTATGTATAGGAATTAGAAAAAGTTCCTAAGACTTAAAGATTCTGGAAGAGTCTCCTGACTGGACTGGTAAGAGTGAAAATCTGTAACCATTTCAGGTGGAAGTTGCTCCAAGTTTCTGAAAGCAAACTATGTACTGCAATAACATGCTATGGAGTCAGAGGTGCTAGAGTCTGTAGCCCATAATGTAGTTGCTAGCCTTCTGTTCCTAGTTTAGTGTTTTTTAAAATATGGGGTTTTAAAATGTGTTATTGTGCACCTTTTGTCTGAAATCCACAATTCAAAACTACAATCGTGACCAAAACTTGTAGTTACTCCTGTTAGCACTTCCCTTGGCTGTGGCACAGGATCACAAATCCTAATCAAGAGGAAACAGTTGCAGAAGTGGCAGACTCAGGTATGTGCTGGAAGGCACTCAAGTTACCCTCATACCCAAATCACCAGACATGCAGATCTGATCAAACATGCCTTGCATACAAGCACAGAGTAGGTGCTCCCACAGTACTGTATATGGAGGCTGTTAAAGAGTAGATTTAAAGAATGACTAGAAAGTGTAGTGTCCCTCTCCACTATGACCAGAAGAGATTTTACTGTTGCACATTCTTGATATTTCTGAACTGAAAAAAAAAGATGTGATAAAACATATTTTCAGGTCTGACTTTACAAAACTTTTAAAATAAATCAGTAAATAACAAAAAAACCTGAAATTAATTATTCTAATTTACATCCTGAGTGTTCTCAGGAAAATATACTTCTAATTTTCCATGCTGATCAAAACAGTTAATCCTTCTCCTAAATTAGTTTTTTTTTTCTTTTAACTTTGTGGTGTGGAATTTAGTGCTCATGAAAGGCAAAGAATTGAGAGCCGTGAAATAAAGCAGGCTTTATCAATAGGTGATGTGCACTGCAGGCATCTACAAAGCACATCTGAAAAGGACTAGTGCCCTTTCCTGTGGTGACAGGGTAATTTGATCTCCTTCATTTTTAACTCTGGCACTTTTTTTGAGCAAGGGCCTCAAGCTGTATTCAAATTGTGCTAGCCTAAAGGTTTGTTTAATAATTTCCTTTGCCTAATATCATCCCTAATGTTTGCTTACTATCAACAAAATTAATTTCTTATCAGACTCCACAGGAAAGGAAAAGCAATTCTTCTCACTTTGGAGTGGTGCCTCATTTCACCGGATGAAATTGGTTCTCATGAGCAAGTGGAGATTGTGGATGAATGCAAGATTTACAATGCTGGCAGTTTTTTAATTCTTGAAAGAACACTAGCCTCATTTCCTATTAATTTGCAATCAATAAACACGCCCTTCTCCTTAGATTAATGGGAAAGCGACTGCACAATACATACATTCAAATTTGATATTTCGTAGGTTTTCTGGCAGGTCATGGAGGGCTACTTTCAGCCACTCATCCAGTTGTTTTGCAAACTTTCGGATCACCTGAGTCAAACTGAAAAGAGAAATCAGAACGTAATTACTTGCTGCTTTATAGTGTAACACCCATGGACATGCAAAGCCTGTGGATCATTTGGCATTTACAACTCACTCTTATGCGTGGCTGATGACCTATTTTGGTCTGTAGGTAGGAAAAAATCTTCTCAAAATGTTTGCAGGGAAAGGTTAAAAAGCAACACGTCCAAAAGCTTACACAGAATGGAAATCTCTGTACTGCTCTGCAGTAGTAGTTTTAACTGGTGTTTTTGGCTTAAAATAAAATAATTTTCACTCTGTTCAAAAACGACAACCTAAAATCACATCTCTTTAAGGAGGACAATAGATCAAAATTTGGATTTCAACTCAGCTGGGCCTACATTTATACAGATAAATACTGGGTCATTCAAGGGAAGCACTATCTAACTATGCTGCAGGCTAGAGCCAGTGAGCGGGTGGTGGTGCTGAGGAGGATCTTCCAGGCCATCCTGTGCTGGGCAGGGAATTGGAGAGAGAGCAGCAGGATCTGTCTGCTTAGCTCTGCATGGGACAGGAACTTCCCCAGCCACATGAGGTTTCCCTCTTCCACCCCACCACTTTCGGTGGATGGCCCCAGCTCTTCCTGCTCCGGTGCTGAACTTGGCAGACAGCTTCCCCGGCGCCTCTGTGGGCCCAGCCGGGCCCAAAATGGCCGTTTTTGAGCGCGGCTGCAGGGCGGGCACTGCGGGGGAGCCTGCAGTTCTGTCAGGCCAAGCTGCGCTCCCCCAGCCCTGCTCTGGATGCACAGGAGGGCGGAGAGGAGACGTGTAAGGCACTGTCCCTCTTTCGGCCAGCAGCTTTTCCCATTTGTACTCCTAACGCCCTCTGCACTGAGAAGGGACCTGAAAGCCAAGCGTGGCCATAGGCCTTCTCTGCTCCACACCGCACAGGGGTAAGTGTGAGTGACTGCACCCACCAAAAAGGGGCTCACCAGCCACCATTTGCTCCCAGGAAGCCCTGCTGAGGTTTCTGGCTGAGTCAGCAAGATTTCCTGCAGCAGCTTCCACTGCAGTGAGACCCTTCTTCACCCCCTCCAGTGCAGGCTATGGCTTAATAGCCACAATCTGGCCCTTTATATGCATTACAAAAGTCTATATTCACACTCAAGTCTCTCCTTATTTGCTATGAAAGAACTAAGCAGCTTGAGAAAAGGACTGCTGTTCTGTTTAATCCTCCCAACGAAATAGATTTTTGGGGGTGAGGGGAGAAGCCTGTAAAAATGCACATGTGTCATCAAGGAAAGCCCCGTGCTTACAACATGTTTCTAGTGGAAAAAAATCTTGCCTGTCCTTTAGCAATCATATAGTCTTCACGGTACTTACCAGTTTAGGAGAAAACATTTTCTGCTGAAAAACATTTGCTGTGATTAGAGATTCTTTAAAGTCATCGGGGCCAAATACGCAGCAGTACCAATAAACTCTTACAGCAATATTCTTAAATTATTTGGCTGCAGAAAAGCATCAGTCAAATAATTCTAAATGTGAACACACACATTTAAAAAAGGATAGTTTCCTGATGCTCATAAGAGGAAGCTCGAAGTACAGAAATGGCTGAATGCACTCTGTGATTACACGCTTTGCTGTGAAGTGTTGCTCCCTGCCCTGCCTTACCTGTTTAAACAAGACTCCTTGGACTTAAATGAGATCCAGGTTGGAAGAGAACAGCTGACATCTACCATGTGGATTGGTAATGAGAATTTAGATTAAAACAAAGGAGTACCTAAGGGCAAACACTGTCTATAATAAGCATGTATCTGTTCATCACAGAATACTATTTAAATGAATCCAAATTTTCTGAGGTATAATCTTCATGTTTTCTACTCCTGGCAAGCAGAGTAACAATTGGGATCCAAGAGCATAAACAGAGACAAATGTGTTAACTGCAGTTCCCATATATGTGCCTGCGTATTTACCTACAGAGCAGCCAGGACAGCTCCTTTTTGCCACTGTAATTCAGAATGCTGTAATGTTACTATGCCAGACTAGCAGAAAAGTGTCTGAAATATTCACAAGACAGAAGACTGGCATTCTGCAGCCTGCAGATTTCTGACGTTTCCTGAAAGCTAGGACATGACCATCTGCTTAATGTTAATAAATGAAGGAGGAAGTAGTATTTCTTATCACAGAAAAAAATGACTTTTTCACAACACAAATACCATCAAAATCCAAAAATTTCTTCAGAAATATATCATCTTTGCATCTGCTTTGATCTGACTCTGATTTAAACTCAGGGAACGGGTGTCAACAAGCAGCTTTCTGAGTGCCATCCATGAAGTATACACATACAATAAAGGCAGCTGCTGTAAAAGTGGTTGGTGTAGTGGTCATACCTGTCAGGTAATGCCTGGAGTACTGTTGGCATCAAAACTCCAGAAATCGCTTTGTACAGTATTGAATCACAAACTCCCACTATATTCACTACGGTCGAAGAACCCAGTACAGGCAGCATATGAGGAGGCATTCCTTGCCAAAAGTGCAGAAGAAAACTTTGAACCTGCAATCAAAAGAGGCAACAGCATCATTTAGATGAAAATAATCAAAGGCCACAAATAAAAAAAATCCTGAAAATATTACTTCAGTGAATCAATTGGTTTGGAGAAGAGGCAGTGATGAAGCGGTGTTAGTTTTTCCGAAGCTGGATATCAGATTTAATCAAATTCACACTCTTGTTGGTCCCCATTTAAACATACCTAGGAGTAACTTGAGGAGGCACACAGAGAATGTGAAAAGAGGTGAAATTACTCCTTAAAAATAGGCAGATTCTCTCATACGGAAGCATTTAGGCTCGGTCCAATGACTTAAAAGAGCCTCAGCTTTAAAACAGAAGCTTGTGAGTACAGTGAGAGGGAGAAAAGCAGGGAATTCCCTTCCACTCTTGAGAATCCAGAATCAAAAGTTCTGTGAGTTACCAGGAGCTGCATGTTGTAGTCAAATCAGGCCCACCTATAGTCAGACCTGTTTTCTTAGACTAGCGCCCTTCTCCACATGTGATATAATAATGCTTGCATTCCAGTAATGCTTTCAGTTTGCAGCCTTTCTGCTCTGGTTAGTAGATGCAGTAAGATCTCCAGCAGGTACAAATCTTATCCACGTTTAATGGATCTTAGCGACTGCTGAGCAGGAGCAGCGTGTGTGTTCTTAGCTGTGCTGCAGTACCACAGAACAACTGGACACTCCAGCTACAGGTTTACCAGGAGCTCTGGGTGGCTCTAGGTCCCCACCATTCTGCCCCAGTGTTGACAAGGCAAGAGCAGCAGAGGCCACTCTTTTGGCTTCTGCATCTGCCCCAACTTTGTGCTGAACATTCAGAAGAATTCCTTCAAAAAGAGCTCAGTTCCAACTCAAAGCTTAGGAAAGTGGTGGTGGTCACACTTCTTGAGTTGTAAATGGGCTATCTAATATCATGTAAGGGGACATTGCTACTTTAATCCTGTTGGAAAAGGGACACAAAACTATTCCCATTTCTCTCCTACCTTTAATTCAGGTAATGCTGTAAGTGAGAGTTAATGGTATTACTTATATATATACACTGGTACTGATAAAGTTACTATTCATGAAAATGATCAAAGCCATTATTTTGTAGTATCACATTCAAAATAAGCTCTCGGATCCATTGATACCTTAGGTATCATTAAACTACAGCCCTAGTTTCTGACCATACCTCATCAAAGTTTGCTCTTATCACAGTGTCTAATATCCTCTGACAGTGCGTTCTATACATCATAATAAAGGTAGAAACCTGAAAAAGAATGAGAAGAAGACCACAAAAATCATTTTAAGAAAACTGTTTTAAAAAACAAAATAAAAAGCCCAGAAAAATATTTTTTTCTTCTCCTTACCTATGCACAATTGCAAAAATAATGAAAATGGTTAGAGTTTTGAGTTTAGTTAGATTAGCTTTAAGATGAGTTTTCTTCTTAAAAGTAAATTCTCCCTTTGAATTCATGGATTTTTCTATGTCAATGGGGATTCTTCAAATGTAAGAGGAGCAAAAAGCCTCAGTGAGATCAAAGACGAGAATGTGGCCCTAATTAGGACATAAAGAACTATAAAACCTTATTCTTTTGTTCCACCTTACATTGATACTACAGTTGTGAATAGCATCAGAAAACTAGCAAGCTCAGCCAGGGGCAGTTCGGGGATTTTTGTCATATGTACGGATAGGATTCTCTCACTTTCTAGCCTAGAAGGATAAGAGGCACACTAAGCACACATCAGAATGGTTTTTCAGCTTGCCAGTGAGTGGGTTTGCAAATTAAACAGCTATGACAGGTTGCAGAAACAGAAGTCTGAGGTCTTGTTATTCTTGTCATAAGTGATTTAACTAGTTTCCCTTAAGCCCCCCCTGCTGAATGTAAGGTAACTTACAAAAAAAAAAAAAAAGTGTGCACAGGCTTCAGAAGTGGTTGAAAGAAAAGTGCAGCTAATACCGTGTCAGCTGCCTATGTTAAGGACAGATATTTCTTCCTGCTATATGAAGCAGTTAAGTTCCTCATAAATAAAGTCAAGGCATTATTAAACTCACTGTAATTTAAAGTCTTTATATTTGAGATAAAGCTTTCATCCAGAGGGGAAAATAAAACAAGGCAAGCCGAGAATATTTCCAAAGTGTTACCTTCTCCTCTGGCAGACTGGCTGGCAGATTTAGATCTTTGACATTTGGAAACTCTGGCAGTAACGTTCCAAGTTTGGACCGTGGTGAATACGCCACTGTCTGTTTGGTTACTTCTTTTTTTCCTGTTTCGTTGACCCACGCTGCTCCTTTTTTTGAATACATCACATCATAATACTGGGAGTTTTCTTTCACTGCAATTCCATAATAATGGTACCTGATACACAGAAATAAACAATTTATAAAGCAGATTGTTTGAAAATTAAAAAGAGTGTGGGGGGGGAGATAAACAGTCCATGTTCTGATTTCTTCAGCAGAACAGACTTTGTGATAGTTTACATATCATTAACAAGCATTGATTCAGTACCAGAATATTGCAATTGCATATGAGGTTGCCAGATTTCATACCTTCTGGCAGAAGGAGCTCTATGAAGAGTTACTAAAGCTGACTGTTGCAGGGCAGGAAAATAACGGACTGCCATTTTTTTCTACTTACAAAAAAAAAAAAACATCCTAAAGCTCCTTGTTGGCAGGGCTGTGCTGCGCAGCTGCTCCTGTAGCAATAGGCAGAGGTACAGACCCTCTGGCCTAGCCCTTCTGTTGTTATTTCAGCTGCCTGATTTTTAGACTGTTGAGAGCTGGTTTGATTCCTGAACACCCTGCATCCTTGAAAATTGAACAACACTTCAAAGAAAAGAATGTTTGGAAATGTATGTTTCTGAATAGTATGCAGTACAACATAGCTTCACCATTGGGATAAGGTAAGTAAGATATATCACACAACACTGTTAATGCCACCCATGCAGACCAGGGGCAAGTTGCAGAGTCTGGCTGTGCCACAAGAAGGGTTGGCACAGGTTTGCGCTACAGGTGTTAATGGAAGCATCGATAATCTAGTCGAACCCCGTCACCAAAACAGAAAAGATGGTACTATTTCTTCTGTTAATTTGCCAGTCTTGATTTCAGTTTCTCAGCTGTAACCACAACCAGTATCTCAGCTATATCTTTAATGATTACAAAAAGAGTCACAAAACTATATTGCTCTCGTACCTTTGATTACCTTTACTCTTCTAGACAGAATGGCCAATTATACTGCAGTTCTCTCCTTACAGCCTGCCAAAAGCCCAGCTCATGAGGAGACCCCATGCTCTGGATCCAGCTATAGCGGCAGGAGAGGTTACTGCCTCCAGGCATTTGTCCTTGCCCCAGTCAAGCCCTGCTTTCAGATCAACGCCCATGAACGGCCCCTGGTTTGTTTTGGGCAAAACCAACTGGCTTTGCTAGGGTCATCATGTAAAAGAGGAGGTGATCGCTCGCAGCTTACGAGATTTTTTTTTCAGTAGCAAATTCGCTCCAAGACATTCACCCGTAAATCAGTGGGTGTCATAATCCCCAGCAGCCAGTAGCTGTGAGCACTAATCTGGTCTGCCAGCACAGATGGGCTCAGGAGAGGCCTGGGGAGATGCAGGAACCTGCTAGGATGCAGCTCCCCTGGCATGTCCCCTAGAGACATTCCGCATCTTCCATCCAGGGAAAAAGCTATAATATTGTATATTAATATATGGTGTAACCGTCATATTGAATAGTCCAGTTGAGATTTGTACAAATGTTACACTGACATGACCTGAATGGGATATCCCCTACTTCTGTGCCTCAAAAAGCCAGACCATCTGTTCCAAAGCTACCTGTAAGTGTTTAGGTGAAAATGCAGTTTGCACAGCAGAAAGCCAGTTCCAAATCAGCATTGCCCCAGTCTTACCACTCACCTCGCTGGCCCTGCTGTATGTCCCTATTTCTTTATGTCCAATAAGAGCACAAAGCAGTGCAAAGGTCTCCCTTAGGGCTTGTTCAGGCATACCTTACCTGCAGGTGAATGTCACAAGAGCCTTTTTGGACCAAGCTGCACAGAATATAAAAGGTTATAGCACCCATTCTGGAATCTCAGATTTTCAGCTTGAACAGCAGCAACTCCAGCTTGCAGTTCACATACCCCACTTGGCCTCTAGCAGCTGCCATGCAGGAGTTGTACAGAGCAGCCATTAAGCTCTCATTGGTCTTGTGAGCTTGGTGGTAAGTCTGGGGCTGGGAAAAGGAAATGCTATGGGAGACTACCACTACAAGTTACCTGGAAAAGGGAAAAAATGGAAAAAGGTCACAGCAGACAGGGCTGCAAAAGTTCTAGGCAGACTGAGAGGTTTGTATAACCTAGACAGGAGTCAGTCTCTTTTATCAAGTTTTCTCTTCAATCAAGTCAAGCAAAAATCAAATAAAACTTTTTTTTTCATTCAAAAGAGAAAGCCTCAAAAATGTAGCAGAATTTCACTGCGTGTAACTTAATTTCTAGTGTATTTCACTCAGTAACAAACTACATAAAAGATTTTTCCAAGTAGCTTCCAAATCAAATAAATAGTAATAGCCGAACTAACTCAGATGTTTTTGCAGACAGCTTTTTCCATCACTAATCCTTCAGGCTCTTTTTAAAGTACTTTTCTAGGTTACTGTCAAGAAAAAAAAATCTTAATCCAATTAAAAGGGAATAAAACTTTGAGCTGTAAGAGAATAACATGAGGACCACACAAAAACATTTTTATGGTAAATGGTGGAATGATTTTTTCTTTCATGAGGCCAGTACCTGCAGCACTCCTTTAAAGAAAGGAGCAAAATTCCTTTCACACCATGTATTGGCTTAAGTAACCTCTTATGTATATAACTGAAGAGTTTCAAACTACAGAAAGAAACCAGCTTTTATGAGTAGCTGCCTTCCCACAGCTCACCTGTAGTGGAACTGGTTTTAAGCTCAGCGCAATAGAGAACAGCTGCTGCTTAACAGCAATAAACCCAGCTGCAAAAGAGAAAGCCTCGCAACTGATGGCCAGGAGGGTAGTACCATTGAAGCTCTGAACTTTTTAATGCTACAAGGTGGCCACACTACAAAAAGACTGAAGGCAGAACAGTGTGAAGTCTGATCATCTGAACCACTTCTGTGGCTGAATTTTCTTTGGCAGTAGCTGGAAAGTGGAGTGAAAATCATACTGACAGCAGTTGATTGGCACAGTTGGTGATAAAGGGACTGAATTATTAACATATTAAGTATTTTCCTCATGTAACACTTAATTGGAAGGCAATCAGCTGCTTCTGAAAACCCAACTAGAGCTCGGCTATAGTTCTGCAGGGTCTGGCAAGGACTGTGTTTATTTTAATGAATTACAGTGTACACATAATGTATGGATGTGTTTACATCTCTCCTCTTAACTGGATCAAATGATAATGACTCCTCTGTATGGTATAGTTCTTGGGTTGTTATGCACTAGGCATATTCTTCTGGAGCAGGGCAATTTGATTTCACAGGTATTGCAGCTGTGAAATGTGAGTGGCTGTGACTTCCAACACAGGGCAGCCCAGGAGCTCCTGGGGCCACAGCACAGAGCGCACGCTTCGCCAAAGCCCCTCCATCATTTGCTAGGTAGGGAGCAGAACCAGGGCAAAAGTGCCATGAGAACGGAAATAGGCAAGTGCTGTTAAGTTCTATTGATTTTTGGCCTCATTCAGATCAAAAAGACATTGCTTTTGCAGAGGCAAGACATCTTTAGTCAGCCCTCAAGGGTGTCTTGCCTGACCTGGAGCTGCAAGAGCTGGATGGGTGGAGTGGCCCCACATGGAAAATGCACCAGAACTTTTCCTTCCTTTAGGCTGGAAGACAATCAATGAGGTGATGGAATGGCCAGTGCCAGAGTGATCTGACAGGTGACACAGGGTACTCTCATATGGGATGTTTCGCAAAGCAACTTGAGCTCAGTTTTGTAAACCTCCACAGAATATTCCCTGTCATAGTCAGTGCTGCTCCCAAGTCCTGCCCCACTGCACTTTGTTAACACTCTGGAGGACCACTTCATCATTAGTACCCGTTCTGATAGTTTTGTTATGAATGATGTTACAGCAGCTCTGAGTTTGCAAATGGGAGGAGTTTTCAGATCTTCAGCTGACTGCTTAAATATGGTTGCTCTAGAAAATTTAGTTAGACAAATCAGGAAAATCTCTTGAGATGGGGAAAGGATATTTGGTCCCACCAAAGCAAGACTGCTTGACAGGAATCACCTGTCAGGAGAGGGAAGTGAAGTTAATTTTTAATGGCATTTCTTACAGCATCTGTATGTAGTACTATTTAGAACATAGCATCATCATTATATCCTGTTCATACTTGGTAGGATCATTTCTTGTCAAGATTTGCATGTCCAAGACAAACTCAAATACTCTAGGAAGTGCGTTCTTCTTTCTGAATCAATTTCTTACTCTGGAATTAGGATGAACTGTTTTCAAGAAGTGAGATCTTTTGAAAGAGCAAGTGCCATATTTTGAAAGAGCAATAAACTAACTTCTTGATCACTGAAAGAAATGGTGGATTTCATTACACAAGAAAAATGGTGCTTAAATACAGATTTTGGACAACTTTAGTCCAATGTATATTTCTATCTAAATTCCGTGCATTCTGTCTCTTATCTGCTTAACTGAAACCTGATGTTAAACAGCTGTCATTTCTTAGCATCCAGCAGTAGCTCCATTAGCGATGGCTGTGAATGCCCTTCATACTGTGCAAACCAAGCAGAGATGAAAAGCATTACAGGAACAATATGGAAAATACTGTTGATTAAATTAGGAAAAGATCTCCATTAGAATACCCATGCAGGACCAGCACTGCTGAATCAATGGGACAATGTGAGCGCCACAGCAGAATCTCCATCAAAATTGGGTTTAAACTGCCCAATGGACAAATGAATCCTTGTTAAATTATTGAATTCAGTAGAATAAAACCAAGACCATATGGGGCTCTGTGTGAAATGGTAATATACCATACATTGCTTACTTTGATTGGCCTCTGGTTCCAAGCCTTCTTGTTGTTAGCTGTGGAAACTGCTGCCTTATGATCTGCAAATAAATAAGTTGATATTAGAAAATAATGGACATTTACTAATGTTTAATTTAATATAGACTGTTAAGACAGAAAAGCAGAAAAACTGTACTGCAATATCATCAAAATACCTGACAAGAGAAATCAGACCAAGTCAGCCTGTACTAAAAAAAGATCCTTATGATTTGTTCCATTACTGAAAGATGAGAAATAAACTGTTAAATTCAATATAATTTCATTAACAACCATTGGATTAAATAAAGACTTTCTGAATTTACTGGACCAAAACACAATTCCTTAAACTCTAATGTCAATTCTGCCTCTAAACTTAATGAGGATTGTACTGGAATTGGCCTAATATTTAAGTTACTTACATGTCAGTTTGCAGGATCAACAAACTTGGTTTTACGACTAGACACCAGTAACTGAAAATTTTCTTTAGCATCCTCCTCCAATAAAATGAAATTTTAGAGTGTGTGTACCCTTTATGTATGAAATTAGCCTTTATGGCCGATTTCTCCTCTTGAGAGTTTTAGAGGCAAAATTTTCTAAGGACCTTCACGGTCCTGCCATTTAGCACTCTCCTTTCTAAGAGACGACTCCCTGAAAAGATTTTGTTATTTGACAGGGGGGCCATCTCCATCACGCAAGGCTCACTTGTTGCGTTTGTAAAGATGGCTCATAACCAATTTATCCTCTATGGAAAGCAAGCGCGTCTTAGAAACAGCAGGATATTTTCAAGAATCTGGACTCTGGTCTGTCGGCAGCGATTAAAAGGGGACTGGGAATATAAAACAACAATCCTGTAGTGCCAGATGCATTTAAGGAAGCGGATTAACAAATGTAGCTTGTGCCTTCCGTAACCACGGCGGGTGTCAGCTGGGCTGGTCCTGACGCAAGAGCAAAGCTCTGCCGGAGCCCCTGGGGAGGCGGCGCTCAGCACCGCACAGGATTGAACCTGCTGCTCCGTGGAGGCTGCAGCAACAGCAGGAATATTCTTCTGTCAAAAGAGTTACGCAAGAAAGACCACAGTAAGCCTTGAAGATTCACTTCCAGGAGGAATTGCTTCCTTTCGAATTTATAACCCATTGTCATTCTGTTTCATAACATAAATTGCTAAATGTTTCCTATATTTATGGAAAAACAAGCAGTATTCATGGGAAACAAGCATACAAAATAGAATACAATTATTCAACCAGAACAAAACGTCAATTAAAATTGATTAAATAATATAGATTTTTTCCTGGAGAGCTATTTTGCCACAGTTACCACAGTGATAAATATTTAATCCTGATTGATGACTGAAAGCTCTGGAACATGTATTTGGATCAAAAGGTACCATATAAATAAAGACATTACAATGTCACGTATTTGACTATTTCTTCAGTATTTTTTTTTTCAATCAAATGCACAATCCACCTCCCTTTGTATCACATAAAAATTGACCTGCACTGGTTTCCACGAGCTTTGCACAACGTGGCTTATGTCAAAAACGCAGCGCAGACCTCAGACTTCACTAGGTTGTTCAGCTTTAATTTCTGGAGCAAAACTTCAGCAAACAGTAAAACACTTTTGTGGAGCTGTGAAAGTTCAGCCTAGCTGTTTGATAAATGAGCAGACAGGCAAGCAGCCCTTCTTTCTCTTTTTGTATGGATTCAATGAAGCCTGCCTAAAGAACACCACATGCTGTTCCAGCTACTGATCTAACATTCCGCAACATCTCAGCCTTCCAAATTCCCTTTAATTACACATTAATCCCACCCCTCTCTCTTTCATTTTCTGCAGACGGGGTTGGGGGCTCCACAAGGCTGTGGGAAAAAAGGGCAGTGCTGAAGAACTACTTTCTGGGGATGTTTTTTTGGGTTAAGGGATAGGGTTTTTTTCTTTCTCGGTGGCAGTTGTCATTCAGAAACCCCCATTGCTCTCCCGAATTTGGATCCTGCAGTAGCCTCAAAAGTAAATCTTAAGAGTCTTAATTTTCCATTTGGAATGGTATGAATCTGTATTACTTTCAAAGTCTGTCAAGCAGTGATGAAGTGTTACAATGCACATTGTAAATGCTACTTTATGAACCGTATGCTGTGGGAGTTCCTGGGATTTAAATAAATCAGCCAATTTCTACATACCAGGGCAGAGGTGATCAGGAAAAGAGAAGAATGACGGAGCAGTTGATCAGACGATCCTTTTTGCTTTGCTTTGCTTTTTTTAAATCCAGCACGTTTAAACAACGGAATACACGGACTAGAATACTGCCAGATTGCATACATCACTTAAAACAATATTTTTATCAATAATTTGAAAAAAAAAAAAAAAGCTAGTGAATTTTGAAGAGAGAACATCAGGTTTCTTTAATGCCTCATATGTAAGGTATATATATGCACACACACAGTTTTTTAAGTGTATGTGTATATATGTATATATATATACACACGCACACATATATATACACACACATACATATATGTAAAAGCATGGCATAGTCATGCTTGGGTGCTTCTATACATAAGTAGGGATATTTATGATTGTCTTTGGAATAAAACTAGTCCTAAGTAAGAAATGAACCATCTGTTCATATAAATGTTTATATTCAGATAGATTTAGGTGATTCTATATGCAATGATAACACCAAAAACAGAGAGATTTCCCTGCCAGAAGAGAGGAAGTCAGATTAGGCAGGACAAAGCAGAGTTCACTGTGCATGGAAATCAATGGAAGGAACAGAGGGTTCAAAAATTTGGTTTTAAATTATGTTTTCAGCCTGAAGAGTCACTCTGTGAAATGCAGCATAACAGTATTTTATGTTTATTGACTTTCAAAGACCTACAGAGAAAATGAGTTAATTTTATAATTAAAAGTGGGTTGGGAGCCTAGCTGTCCAACATGAAAGTTCATGCTAGGATCTGGAATCCCGTTGTATCCTTTTCCCTTCACCACTGCAGTGGGGTTGTGTAAGCAGAACTGAAGCAAGACTTGACAGCACAGTTTGAGCCTGCTTCTGAATGGAGCCCAGACCCCTTTCTCATAGCAATGCTGGCTTCACAACAGAAGTGGTGGTGAAAAGATCTCATGGGTGAAATCCAAGAAAATTTTGGAGTGCAAAGGACTTTTACCATTATCCTTCAAAGGAACTGAAATTTCACCCTATATTTCCCCAAAACAAGTACAGATCTAGTTGTCTATGAGACCTGCTGAATAAAGAGGTACAGATTTTACACTATCCGAGCAAAAATCTGTTTAAATTATGTTGCAGCTTTTAAATGTTTTATTTTATTTTTTATTTTTTTTAGAAGACAAATATAGAGCAGGACTTTCATAGGGAAATAGTCTCTGTTCCCACTGTACTACCCTCAGAAACCAGAAGTTATTTGATTCCTTTCTTAGTTAATAAATCTCAGTTCAGTTCCCCCTCTTTCCTCTATGCCCTGGGCAATAACTTTTTTTTTCTCTTCGTATAAAGGGTCATACTTCTTAATACTAAAATAAAAATAAAATAAAAATAAAATAAAAAATAAAAAATAAATAAAAATAAATAAAATAGAAAGACGTGCTGTATCTTTTTGCATCTTGATGATTCTCTTGCTAATTGCCCAGTATATAAATATGAGCCAGGCAGAAGTTATTAAATTATAAAGTAACACAGCTAATAACCTTTGAGAAGACTGTTCTCTCCCAGTATATCTAGGTGCATTTGTTTAGCTCTTTGCAGTTATGTGTCATGTGTTATGAACGCCTGTGTAGGAAGACCCCAACCTGACTTTCCTTCCTCGCAGGCAGCAGCTGTTCACGTATAGGGAGCCAAAGTTAATGCAGGAAGGAAGGGTCTTTGCATGTCCTTCTCCCACCCTGAAACTAAAACACTGTACTATATAGCATAGATTGCACAGATCTTAGAACTATCAGGACTTTTTTTAATCCAGTGTTGCTTTTTTAAACCTATAAGAACTGTACAAATACATCTGAAGTAAATACCTAGTTATTGTATTTTTATCATTCTTAACATAATGAAGTTATTTAGTCACCTCTGAAAAATTGGGAAATCTCTATGAATAACTAGAAAAATAATCTTCCTCCGTCGAGGTGTGTACTGTGGCCTGCACAATCTACTAATGTTAGACACAGCTAACTGCAGGAGCAGTTCTGTTAGCAGCAAATGGCTGCAAGGTGCAGTCCTTCCTCTGATTACTGCCAGCTGTAATTTCTGCTTTTGCATCTCTCCTCCCACCTCATCCAGCACTGAGAGGTTCAAACACAGGCTAAGCCACCCTGGGCTTTATAGGGAGGAGAGTGTTTTCTATGCTGCCTTCATGGCTGCACTGCAGTCCCTCACTCCTTGTTTCATTCACCACCCAATCACAAACTTTATGCCTCCCAATTATTGCACCTGAATTCTTCCATGGTACAAGACTTGAAAACAGAACAGAAAAAAAACCCTCCACCTTCACGCCAACAAATTAGGGTGGAAGAAAACAGTGACATATGGAAGTTCTTGGAAACTTTTTCCCCCTGCCCCATGTCAAAATGTTAAACTTTGCTTTAGAGGCAAAAGGCAGGGAATAACTTTAAGAAGCCTTTTCCTTGAAACAATTTAAACTGCTATTTTCAAAAGGTATGTTGATTTTGTTAGTGCATCTGAGCTAGACAGGACCCTTATTCCTTTCTACTTGAGACAACTCTAGCCATGGTTCTAGAAACAGATGAAATATATTATGCTGCAACGGAGCAGCTGAACTCTGCCAGAATGAGCAATGGATGCCAGGTTTTCAGATCGGGAGCTCTGAGAAGCTCTAGAGCAACTTTAAATACCACAAAAAATTCTCTTTCCTCTGATAACAATTCCTCCTAGCAAGGCCTGATTCTGTGTATCTCAATTCAGGTTTCCAAACTCACAGCTAGAGGACAAGCCTTACTAGTGTGAAGTCAGGTACAGAAGATCTGTGTCTGTTCATCAACTTTATGGTAGTGTCTCCTTCTTAAGCGTCTTTGCCAGGCAGAAGAAAAGCAAGCAGAGATGACAAAT